GTCAGTTTTACAGACTCAGATGCATATGTCACTCTAATGACGAATACATTGATAAAGCTGCTGCCATGAACAAATATTCTCTGGACAGAGGCTACTCTTTACAGTGTGTTGATAAGGCGTACCAAGTCGCACTCTCTAAATCCTGCTCTGCTCTGCACATTTTGGCCTCTGATAAAGGATTAGCCCAGCATTTTAAGGATCCCTTCTATGTCTATAAAAGAGGTCCTAATTTACGCAACAGACTGGTGACGGCCAACATTAAGGCTGACCCATAACAGACTCTTTTCTTTAAAAGATGGGAATTATCCATGTGGAAATTGTGCCCAGTGTTGCAACACATGGATAACTTATGTTTTCAGACATCCAAGATCAGGCAAAAGCTTTCCTGTTACGGGTTTTTATCACATGCAGCATAGAGATTGTCATTAACTTACTAAAATGCCTTCATGATAAGATTTAACTTACTATATAATGACGAAAACTCTGTCTGTCTGTGTGTCTGTTCCACGTTTTTCTCCTCACTGACTTGGTCAATCCATGTGAAATTTGGCACAGTGGTAGAGGGTCATGGGAGGATGCGAATGAAGCAATATTACATCAATTGGCCAAAGGGGGGCGCTATAGCAACCAACTGAAATTGCAAACTTTGAATGGGCATATCTCATGCCCCGTATGTCGTAGAGACATGAAACTTTGCACAGAGATGCCTCTCCTCATGAGGAACAACTTTGCCTCAAGAATCCATAACTTCCAGTTATATAGATTTTACACCATTTTGAATTTTTTGAAAAACACTTAAAATCGATCTCTTCCTAGGAAGTTTGACCGATCTGCATGAAACTGGGTGAACATAATCTAGGGACCAATATCTAAAGTTCCCTCTTGGCTAAAGTTGGAAAACTTACTAAAACTGAGCTTCTATAGGCAATGAATATTGCCGAGGGCGTGGCTCATCACATAAAGGTGTATAACATCTCAAGGGTTTCACCGATCACCACGCAACTTTGTAGGCATATGACCACACATAATCTGAGGGGACCCCTCCATTATTGACCCCATCAAACAAAATGGGTGTGCTAGAGAGCTAATTTCTTATCTAGGCCTAACCGCCATATTGATTTTTACTAAACTTGGTAGATATGTAGAACAGGACGCCTCAAGGTGACTGGAGGAATTTAACTCTAATTGGCAACTGGGTGGCGCTATAACAACAGAAAAATGCTTAAAAATAGCTAAAATGTGACCGATCACTGTGGCTCCCCCTGTGGACCAATGAATTTTCACACCCCATCTCCTCTCTGAGATTCCAGGGCATTGAGCACATTGAACTGCAAAGAGAGGGAGATATGGAAAGAAAGATATGCCAAAGGGACCTGTTCTGGATTGACACTTAGATGCACTTCAGCCTACAGGCCTTAATGAGGACTTTGATATGTGTGTTATGCTGTTATCAAGATGTTTTTCCATGTTTTGTAGAATTTGGGGTCTATGGTTTATGATGGTTCTCACCCGACACCCTTTCATAACTCTTTGTCTTACTTTTGAGATGTGTGCTCTATAGATTTGGGGATCTCTGATTAATGATGGCTTTTGACTGATTGTTACAAGCTTATATGTTTTTCTGTATTCACTGTGTTCCACCCCCTTTCTTGTATTCTGGTACTGTATGACAAGACAAGTCTGGCGTCCATTTGTATGCCTCACAGTTTGCCATTCAGTACTTTTTTGTTAACTCCCAGGAGGTGGGGCTTCTACCACCTGGGTAGTGCACAGGTATGTTGCATAGTGATAAGACTGAAATTGGTTACTTTCATATACCTGACCATTGTCGCCTCATGTATGCTCTGGTGAGGGTCAAATAGACCGAAAGCTCAACAATAAAGTGAAACACTGCAAAGATGTAAGTGTGCGGAAATCTTTTTCTACCAGTCATGTTTCATGAGTAAAAATTCTAACTTGTAAAGTAACCTGTAGCCTAACTAAAGTTATCAGATAACTGTAGTGGAGTAAAAAGTAGAATATTTCCCTTTGGAGTGTAGTAGAGTAGACGTAAGTGTCTCAAATTATATGTAAGTAAAGTAGGCTACTTGAGTATAGCACCTTTCAAAACAGTTACAAAGCCCTTTACAAACCCCAATAAAAGACAAAGCAAATAAAACAAGATTAAAGCAATAAAAACAGAACACACCTAACAGAGTTAAACACACAATAATAAAGCAGTTAAAATCACCAAAGGCAGTTTTAAACATGCAGGTTTTCAGAAGTGATAAGACATTGCAGCCCTGATCTCCTCGTGCAGGTCATTTCAAAGTCCAGGAGCTCTGACTGCAAAGGCTCTGTCACCTTTGCGAAATAATCTAGACCTCTAAACAACATGAAAAAGATGCATCTGAAAAAGTGGATCTCAGAGTGAGAGAAGGGACATAAGGCAATAAAATATCTGTTATATAACTTGGAGCAAGGCCTCTCAGGGGTTTGTAAGCAATCCAAAAAACCTTAAATCAACTCTAAAAGCACCCACCAGTGTCTCATGTTTAATGTTGTTTCTCTAGCCTACTCATATTCAACCACTGTTTACAATGGCTTCAATGCAGTATCTGTATCAGGTCTGCATGGCATATTACATTACAACATGGGGTAGGCCTACACAGAAAAAAATCACTCTAAGATATTAACAAAATCAAGTTTAATTTTGGTTTATTCTGACTGATGAAGTGGCGTTTTAAGGGAATATTGGACATATAACTATTTTAGATAGATGCAAAGCCAAAAACACAATGTGCTCTTTCAAATTTCCTACACAGTGTACCACACGTGAACACAACTGGGCACATACCTGTTCTTCTCAATTAGCTGTTTAACTGTTCGTTTCCTCCATTTGCAGGCGATGACACAGCAAATCCAAATACACCGCACTGAACTGCTGTTTTCATGTTTGGTAGTCCGCTCAGAAAGATGCTGGACATCCTGGAACACTGTTCTTGACCAGGTACCATCTCCAACCGGAAGCAGAGAAGCGTCTTCTCTGACAAGCTAGCAGTTAGCCTCTGACAAGCTAGCAGTTAGCCTCTGGTATGCTAGCAGTTAGCCACTTGGTAAATTATGTTATTTTTAGCAGCTTTTAATGCCCAGTTTTTCTTCAAAAAGCACACTTTAACGTTTGGGCCGTAGAAGATAAACCATATTGTTCATCTCCACCAGTTGCTATCTTCTTTAAAGAAGTGCGAACTTCCGCCAACACATGAAGAGTCATTAGCAATTAGCCAATCAGAGTGCAGCTGGGTCACATTTACTTTAATTGCCTGCTGTTGTAGGTCACCCAGAGGTCAGCAACCTAAAGAGCCATATTTTTGACACAAAAAAAACTTTCTGGAGCCATACTCATAATCAACCAACTCATAATTTTAAATGTATTGGAATTGTATGGAGTTATGTACTTTTTTGTTTTATTATTTATTCGTCAGTTAGTCTGCTAGGGCTGGGGGAAATACACGCATTGTTGTTTAACTGTTAATGTGTACATTAATGTTATAAAATTAATTATTTATTAATTAATTATCCTCCTAATCCTTTTTTTGTGTTCAGCTCTTTAGAGCCCTTAATGAATGAAGATTGAAACTAAAACTACAGCAGCATGTCTCAAGTAAAGGTACATATTGGTCAGGTCTATGTGCAATTCACAATAGTTAAAACAAATATATTGCCCTGGTTGTGCTTTACCTTATCCTGTGGTTTCTATTTTCTTTCCCCCTTTACTTTATTGCTTTTTTTAAGTTTAAAACCTTAGGCAGGTGGGACATCTAAAGAAGTTTCAGCAAAAAATGCTTGACTATATACATAAAATAATAATCTTAAAGAACATAAGAAAAGATGAACAGAGCCTGTGGGAGTGAACAAGTCTAACTTCTTGCTAGACAGCATTATTAGTCTTTAGTCTTTTGTTGGTTTTAAACCAACATTTAAATTTAGTTGGGTTTTATGATTTTTTGGTTATGTGTTTTTTTGGGTTTTTTTGTTTTGTTTTTGTATTCACTGTCCTTGCTGCAAAATAACATAAGTAACAGAGTAGTTTAAATGAAAGCTATTTAGTCACTTCTGTGAATTTAAAATCATATTCCACCAATGGGACTCAATATCTCTAGTAGAATATTCATTATGAATTTTCAAAGTTTTGTATTTTCCACTGTAATAAGGGAAATAACCAGTTCTGCTGAATTTGTGAGTGTGAAAGTTGGTAATACTTTTCTTCATATTTTTTTATCATGTTTTGTTTAACAGCATCTACTCCTTTGTGTCTCCTATCTGTTGGTATGGGTGCTTGACTGACAGCGACAAAGTTCCAGTATTGTGACAACATGAAAACATGTCGCATGTAGTTGGGGGTGAAAAAAAATAAATAAATAAAAATTTATACAGCATAGTATCAAGACATTTTTGTGTGCCGATATCGTATCATCACACAGTGCCAAGTATTGATTTTTTTTTATTATTCTTTTATAATAATTAAACAATAAAATTAATTGCTTTTTCAGTCTACTACATACATTTTTCTGCAGCAAAAAAGAAAATAGCTGACGTGAGATGAACAGACTAAAAACTTTCCGTTGAGATAAAGCAGACGTTGACAGTTTCTTTTGGAGACATAATTTACAGTTTCTTATTACATTGACATAATATTAACATATTTTATCACAGTACTCAGCATATCACAACATACTTAAAATTGCAATATTTTATCTTCACTCAAGTATTGATAATATTTTTTCGTGGATCCTCTGATGATTCCCACTCCCAGCATGTAGGTTATAGTCAAACAACCAACCCTCACTGCTTTATTTTAGCACATAGTCTCAGTTTATTAGCTTCATGACTAAAGCATGTTACTGTAACTGTCCCCTGTGCTTTATGGTCGGTTTCATCCAGGGGTTAAACAAAACACAGAACTCCTTTAAGCCGTTTGCCATTTCGGACAAACTAAGTGAAAACAGTTGACGACTGTAGCCAGTAACATCTGAATGAACTTTATTTTGCCTATACAATAAAAACAGACAGTTGTGATTTTTAAGACAGCAGCCATACATTAGTTAGAATAGAGGAGCCTGTGTATCTTTATTACAGGAGAGGCTCAAGGTAAGATTTCCCCAAGAAACTCAAACATTTAAAGGAAGAAAAGAGCAATTCACCTATTCCCTGTTTTAACAACACACTGTACCTGTGGTCTACATATACAAACCAGCTTCCTGCAAGACGACTGACAGAGTTAAAGGAGAGAAAAGGAGAAACAGACGATGTCTTTGAAGAGAGGCACCAGAGAAGATCGGGAGGGAAACAAAAACACCAGGAAATGGAACATTCTCCCAAACCAGAGTATTACAGACACGTGAGACAAATTACTCAAAATAAAAACAATTCTCATGTCATTTATTATCCTCACTGCTGACACCATTAAAGTTAACACATCTCCTAACACTCTATGTGGAGCCCTGAGAAAGTCTGCCCTCGTGTGTCGTTTTGCAGCTGTATCCGTCGCGGTCTCTGATCCTACATCGGCGAGTGAAGCCGACAGTGTACAGTGTAAACATTGTCTCAAACGGAATCAAGAGGTCAGTCCTGTTTCCTGTCTCCATGTGAGAGACAGCTGAAGGTAGAGAGGATCACTGACAAGACATGTGGTAGTAATTAGTGCTACATATCAGTGGCGAGGGCAGCGTAATTATCGGAGGGAGCGGAGGGCGAGAAAGGAGTCAATGTTCCCACGTCTGACCTTGGTTGAAGACACGTGACGGGGCTCAAATATGGCTTAGGGAAGACATTCGTCTTCTTTCAGGGCTGCTGAGGTGGAGACAGAATAATTTGGAAACCTCTTACAACTATTACTACTGATTGGATGTTAGAATACGTTTGGAAATCTAGCTATGTATTTAAGGAAGCAGTATACTAGAAACTCAAGGGGCAGAGCGTGTGTCAGCTCACGAGTGGTAACATGAGGTTGAGGTGCAGCAGGAAGATGTGAGAGGATTAATATGCTTGTAAAGGCAAGCAGGGGCTTCAAGTTGTCTTGCCTGTGCCCCCATTTGCCACAGAATGTCAGTCAACTCAACTGCCTGCATTGCACAAGGTCGGTTTCTACTGTAGTGCTGCCCCAAATGTTTCTTCCTCCTGCTTATAGGAATGATTATTCAATATTAAATGTATCATTAGTACAGCCACGTGGCTTCCACAATGGTTCTTGCACCTTCTTTGTTGTGCTGCTTTGTACCATGAGTGGAAATCTAGATGGCCAGGCGCCAGACCAGAGCTGGAAGCCACTGTTCTAACGCCAGAGCTCCTAATGTGGTATTTTTCAGGGGGAAACTGCCACAAATCGACTAAGAACGGAATGTTCAGAAACTGAATTAATGCAGAACTTAATACATAACACAACATTCAGTGGATAACTTTGGTGTCTTGACAAAAATAAGAAATACTTGAGCTGGACCTACGTCGGCACAAAAATAACAGACCGGCTGCTGCTGTACAAAGGACAACCTGAAAGCTGGACAGAATACCTTCCAATGTCAACATTACAAATCAGTGTTTGCACACGTTTAACTGATCCAATCACAAAATGTCGTGCAAACACCTCCTTTATTCAATGTGAGAGATTTCTGCTTGAGAAATCTGATTTCTTGACGCTTATGAGTTTCTAACAGAGCACAGGTTCATGACCAAAACTTGAAATAGGAAAAGTATTGCTATGACGACAGCGCAGAAGGTAGCCAAAATCCAAAGTCAAACTAAATCAGTAATATCCACAGCTAAACAGCGCATGCACTCTTGAAAGACTTCAGAGTATGTCCCACTCACTGCACCATCAGTGCAAATGCTCAGATCAGAAAAACAAGATCTCAGGCTGCAGCACTTCAAATATATTGCAAATACACCTAATTTTTTTTTTTTTTCCTCTAAGTTTTATTTTATAGTAGGAGGTAGGGGAGAAAAACTGACTACCTGCATGTAAATGCAGCTTCTACAGCACATTAGTGCAGTGCGTGTAGATGCATTCCACTTTTCTTGCAATTACCCGATGTCTCCCAGTAACAGGTTTTTGTGTGGATGTAAACATAGAGAACCATTCGGCATCGTTTTGAAAAAGTCCGTGTGAACCACAGTCCGTTTTTAGAGTGCAAACGCTGCACAAAATGCTTAAAAATCCCGTTAAACTACAAACAAACCTACCACCCCCCCCATTTACTTTCTACAACTACTTTCACCCGCCCGCAACCCATAATATAGCTCAATGCTAACACTCTCCTGTTCCGATAACCCACAGCAGAACGACCATCCAGATTTGGCTATGTCTTACAAGACGTTAAAATGGTTTCTTGTTTCCACTACTGTGTGCCAAGAAGCTAACGTGATCCTTAGCATTGTGATGTTGCTAACAGTTAAGGTTTTCAGTGTTTTGTTCTTTCAAAATAGTTTTTCGATACATTTATCAGCTCGTAAAAGGCCTCAAGTGAAAGGAAAAAAGTTTCGTAGCATAGAAGAGAAAATGGCCCCACCCAACCACCCCTGTCCAGGCCTGTTGGGCTTCAAGACAGCTGAGACGCCAGAGTTCCCTGCAACCAAAGACTGACTGGCTAGATGCAGGAGAAATGCTGTCACAAGATCTGCAGTTAAAATGTAAATAAAGTTATGCTGGTAACATAGTGCTGGGCGGTATACGGGTTTTAATTTTTTGGTATGGTATGAACATTTTACACAGCAGTACAAGGCTGGAACTATTGCTGTAGCTTCTGAACAGACAGGAAAGAGCGCTACAGGGAGCCCCCTATTAACTGCATCACCTCCTCACTAACAGTTAACCTAGACCAGCTCTCTGCAACAGCACAAAACACCATGGCACCTAATAAATTGTGACACAAACAGTTTAACACCAATTATTGTACATTTAAAAAATACACAGCTGAGCGGCATGCTGGGTAGCCGTACAGCTCAGCCAGGTAGCATAACGCTAACAGTCTGTTAACAGCTAGGAGAGGCTCCATCGCGAGCTAAAGTACATGTAACAGAACAGAAAAGAGACCGCAGATGGACTCCAAGAGGGGAGCTAACAGTTTAAGCTTTTTTAAAAAAAATCCCACGTAATGTCAGTTTATGGAGTCGCTGCTAACGAGCAAATCAAGCCATTACCGCAGCAGGAAACGTGTTGAAATACAAAGAGTATGCGATTACTATCGGAGATGAAACAGTGAAACCGAGGCGTCAGATGTCGCTTAACGCGGTTTGTTCTAGGCGCTGCATGTGACGGGAAAAGCGAGCGGTGCAGCGACATTACGAACGCAGTAACAATCCAACTGTGCGAGGACACCGTCCTGCTAAAGATGGGTTTGAACAATGATTAAAACACTGGTTTCTAAGGATGTTTTACCAGGGTGAAAATACTTCATAATGAGAACATTAAGCTTGTTTCTAACTAGTGCATTTGAGAAATCTCTCTTTGAATACTTTATAGATATTTATAGTGATTTACTGTATTCTACTGTCAGGAGAACAAAACATAAACATATTTTAACATCATGTATAAACTAAAGGCTTTGATTACTGTTAAGCAACAATTTAGACTTTTTTGGCTCATCTACCGTCTTGATTGAAGTTCTGTTTTTACTATGCAGCTGTTTGCACAATAAAAATTGTTTTCATTGTGAAACTGATTCTTCAAATTCCTTCAGATATTGTACGATTTTATGGGGCCACACAAACCCTTTAGTTAGAGCCTTTATTATACATGATTACATATTATCTTTATATTTTATGTACTCCTGACAGCAGAAAAAGCTGCTATTAAACTTGTAAAGAACCAGTCATACAAAAAAAACAAACGTGATATACCATGAAACAACCAGTCTTAAAAAATACCATGACAGAAATTTTTGCTTATACCGCTCAGCACTATGCTTACATAAATTCATAGCTGCTACGGCATGTGTATATAAGTAATTGTTGATTATGAGTGTGCATGCATATGATTTAATTGTCAAAGGCAGAAAGGCATATTCCAGCCATCAATGAAGTTACATGTTTTTAGGTTCTGAGTTGTAGCTTGTGGCGTTTAGATAAATTTTAGGGGAAAATTTAAGTTGAAAACAAGATGCAGCAACTCAACTGTAAACGAGCCTTAAAGTACATGCTCACAGCCAACTCAAAGCTCTGCGCTTCATTCAAAACAAACAAACAAAAAAAGGACAATAGGAGGAATTAAAAAAGCGAATGTATTGAAGTAATGCACAGAAAACCAATCAGCCATTTTCTACGCAGAATGTTAGGAATTGCTGGAATGTGCTAGATATTGCTGGAACAATATCAGTAGCCACTGCAAAGTTACGCTGCGACGGCTACGGGTGGACAACTTCGTTGATTGTAGAGAATGCATGTCGGCCCTGACTGTTGTAGAAGCAGATCCAGTCGAGTTTCCGGATTTCAGGTGACCAGCAGGGAAACTGGTGGAGATGTGGGGTGAAGGCCAGTAGCTTTGGTGAGGCTTCAAGCCGTACTGGAGAGAAGGACTTTGGAGGTCTCCAGCGTTGTCCTGGACACGTTAAGCCATGGCCTTGATGCCAACTACAGCTTCCTCGTCGCAAGCTTTCAACACAGTGACCTGAAAAAAAGGGAGAAAAATAAGATCTGGTACCAGCTGTATCACATGAAACATCACTGTTTAATTATCCCCTTTATTCTGCCGGAGTTTCAACAGCTAACTTGCCAAATTAACTTGCCAACAGGTTTCGTTCTGAGAAGCATTGTCTAAAAAGGTCATCACAAGCCCCAGTGAAAGGTAAGATAACTGTCTAGAGAGGATTAAAAGGTATGATAACAGATTTTCAACATGTTGTACTTAATGTAATACCAGTCCTTCCAGGAATTTGCAATGTTGTGATCGCAACAATTCACGCAAATTCAACCAGTCTCCATGAATTCTGCGCTGCCCTGCAACTTTGTCCAGTCACCGCAATTTTTCTGCAATTTTGACCAGCTTCCCGTGAGTTCCACCAATCATAGCAGTCCCCCGACGTAAACGTATTGGACATACGTCACTGAATTAACTTCCTTGTTAATGGTATGGAGATGTAGATGTGCAATTCTAATGTCTCACATTTAACAAATATTTCTACTAGAGACTGTGCAAAACAATTCCCTGATGTTCTTGAAGATCAATTGACAAACACTTTTCTACTGCGAAACATATTTGGAGAATGGCTGAAACTAACTGACCACAGCAGAGTGTGGATTAGGCCTGGGACGATCAGCGACCAAAATCATATATTGGCGATTGGAGGGTTGCTAGGCAATTTGCTGGATATCAAGGCGATTTTGAAAAAACAAAACAAAAACAAAAACGGCACTCTACTGTGCATTACGAGATGTTTTTGTGGGGGGGAAATACATGACTGTCAGAGAAGCCCCGTTTACAAACAGACCTAGAATCCATCTCCTCTCCTCTGCGGAGGGTGCCCTGTCAGCCCTGCGCTGACAGTGACAGGGCACAACTCTTTGATCCAAAGTGACACTGCCCGTTTGCTCATGCTTCTGGGTCGTTCAATAGAGTAACTGCAAATAAATATTGTTTTAATGTGTAACTATTGAAATGTTCACAAGGGCTTTCATAAATTCCTACAATGTTGCGGCACTGCCGCCTTTGCAGGTTAAAAGTTAATGACAGCGACTTGAAGTGAGGAGGCGCAACACGTCTCCAGCTTGTCAGCGCAGTGGTACCGCTGTAGACAACTTTTGCATGTGATGCAAAATATTAAAATAACGTGGTAGTGATTGACGTACGATAAAAACAATGCAAAAAACAAAACAAAAAAAAACAAAAAAAAAAAACAGCTTTTGCAATGTTAACTGTCTCCCACAATTTCGTCACAACAGACATGCTTAACACCGCAACTTTCATAGCAATTTTTCCGAAAAGCTGCCACAAAAATCAGGTATTTTAAGGTTGCTACAATCCTGGAGGGACTGTAATACCAATACATTGACTGAGCAGGTAATTGACAGCTTTCTTATCTTTGAGTTTTGACTGAAAACTTTAAACCATTTTTTAATTAAAGTATGTGTAGAAAGTTTCCTTTTGAAAGTGACTAAGCTAAGATTTTTTCTCAATATTGTAGAAACGCAAATGGACACGGTATGATAATCATCAATTTTCATATCGCAGTGTACCTTAAAACTGGTATATTGCTGCAACCACACTTTACCACAAGCATAGAACTGCAAATGAAGAACTTAATGATCACACGTACAAAGCTGCATGAAGCAATTCTGGAACACTGTCAAAGTTTCAGTAAATATCAGTGAACGTGACAGATTTCAAGATATTCACTGTATGACTAGATGGAAATGCAACATATAAAATGACAAACTGTTTCTGTGGCTCCAGACACCATCAGTATGTAGATTGTAGGTTTCAGAAACTCACCATAAAATTCTCTTCTCCATCAAACTTAGATGTTATCTCTTTGCCCAAATCGGTTTCTGGCACTTTGAGGTCTTCTCTGGTTGCTCCAGAGTCATCCATCAGGGACAAGAAGCCATCGTTGATACCTATGACCTAAACATGTTATAAGGCAAAGAATGAATTTTACAAACATTGCTCATGTACCCTTAATATCTATAACATATGAATCACGCAGAAATAATCCCTCTTAATCAGCACTTATGACCCACAAGAAGTGCGTGCCGTGGCCATGTGCTTCTGACTCTGCCCGCTTTTTAATTTCCTCTTACTTTCTTTATTTGAGACATTTGTGGCCGTGCACCCCGACAGCGCTCAGGTATACTGCAGTATGGATTCTTTCCTCTGACCGGTAGCTCTGCGTCACTGTCTCTGCGTCCCTCCCACTAACAGACACCTTCGCTCTGATTGGGACTGTCTCACTACTCCAGGATGCCTCGCACTGAAGAGCTGAGGGAAGCAGTGGTGGGTTGCAATTTAGAGGATGTGCTGAAGTTGTAACATTTATGTGGACAATAAGCCACACTGTGGGGATATTTATGCCTAATCATATACCAAACACCCTGCACCAAACATGCAGTCATCTGCCGCTACCACGTCAGCAGAGCAATAAATTAATGCACAGCAGACTATACGTCAGGTAGATTTTTTCTCTCATGAAATACTGTGCTTTACTTAATATTTCATGTTTCCTCAAATATACTGACTTCATTCTCGACTTCTCTTTGAACACAGATATGTCGTACATGTCTTTAATGTGCATCAGCAAAAATCTGTTAATGAATTGAAATTAATTACTTTATCACTGATGTCAATAGGTGCCATGAGAATTTTAAGGTTACTTCCCCCAAACACAAAGGGAGTGGGGAGTCTAATCATACCTACGTTATCCATTATATTTTTATATTCTGAATTGTCACTTGGCACCTTCATTTTATTGTTTCTCTTTACAGAAAGAATAGGTGCATGAAAGTTCACCAGAAAGCAGGAAATTAAGTGTTTGATGCTCAAAATTTGATGGGGGAGAACCTCCAGAACTCCCCCCACCCCCATGATGAAACAAAACCTGTTCCCTTGACACCCAGCACTGTTTTTGTGTCGTTAGAAAACTGCTATCCCAAGAGAGAGGCCTCCAACCAGGGCAGAAGTGACTGCTCGTTAGCCAAGCCAAAACCTGCTCAACCAGTTCCAAACCTGTATATCCTTTTACAACTACCAAAGAGACAGCTCAGCTCTGATGCATGCAACACACCCGATGAGCAATCAAAAACGCTTTTATTTTCTTCCAAACTTTTTCATTAGGATTAGGTCATGTACACTATTTAAAACATGACTGGAGATGGGTGTAGTGATGCTCACCCAATACCCAGGGAAACAATTCTTGGCTTCCAAACTGACAACATCCAGTACACACTGCATAAGTTACATGAACAGATCCAACACGGTCATCTCACCTGGTAGTCTTTCCTTAAAACATTAGGGACATCCATGTTATGGGTAGATGGGCAGATATCTTCCAACTTCTTCCCAGTAAAGAGATCAATTCCAACAAGGTGAACCTGGGGAAGACGGACACCGTAATTGATTAGACCTGGCCTCGGGCCATGTAAGCATGGGGTGGGGGGGTGGGGGGGTGTGTGTTACTTGTAAAACTGTGAAACATCAAGCAAAAATCACAAGAGTGCCTTGAGCTCTGAATTCCAAAGGATGCACAAGGAGGTTTTACCTTAGCGTGTCCATGCTTGCCAGTCTTGGAGGTAGACATTTCGACAATCTTGCAGGGACGTTTTTTTATCATGACATGGCCATTCTTCCTCAATGCGGAGCACTGCACTGGGTATGTTGTGGAGGCCCCAGAGTCTGCTTGGTCGAACTGTGGTTCATCATCTGCCATGATGGGCTGTTTAACACCACCCCGGGAAAAAGAAACAAGAACACCAAATGAGACTGACAGCAGCATTACTTACACAGGTGAGTGTTGCATTATGAACCAGTTGTACAAATATAAAAAGGAATAATTTGGTTTTTGTCGTGGGGGACCTGGTGAGCATTGATTTATAGCACTGAGTTGTAAACACAGGACTATGACTACAACCAGGATTAGCTTTGACTCCTCAGCAGCTCTTGTGAAGTAAATTGTAGTATAAGTACCTCAAAATTCAATAATATATAAAAAGGGATATGGCAGCCAAAAGTACTTTGCTACACGCTGCTCGACATTAAAATGCATCTCTCCAAACAAAAGCTGGCCCACTTTCAGGTTTGTTTTAATTTTAACCTTACTTTCCCCACTTAGGTACAAACAAATATCCAAGGAGAGGCACCCATATGTCGCGAGCCACCTAAGTTACCCGCAAAGCTAACAGCTAACGTTAATTGCTAATGTGTCAAATTAACTTGTGAGCCGTGTCGCTGCCGCCTCAAATCATCCTCCACTCACTATCACAGGAGTTAGGTTAACACGTAGCCAACTTATTAGTCAACTGCGTCCACGAAGTAATCTTTAAAACGGCTAAAGTTAGCGCCACAGTCACCGGGCAGTTGAGTTAGTAAGCTAGCAAACACCATTAACTAGTTAGCTTTGTTACGTGGCAGCTGGGCCAGATGAGCATCTTACACGGTAGCTTAAAGCTAAGTTAGCTTCAGGTTCCCACCTCGTGTGTTGTCTTGTCATGGTTAGCTAAACTGGCTAACACGACCAACACCCATTCACACAGGCTGGCGCTGCTGTTGCTAATGTTAGCTAAAGTATTGTGCTAACTTCTTTCAGTCGCTCACAGCTTGGGAAGTTAATGATTAACTAACCGGGACCACAAACGCCTCCCAGTACTGCACACTGGGTAAGGCCTCGCTACACGGCAACACAACAGCGTTAGCTCCTTTGTGACTGAAATAAAATGTAACTTCGCCCCTGCGTTGGACTTACCTGTGTCTTCCGTAATGCTAGACTAAAGAGGAAGAGTCACTTCGCATGCGTAGAGCTTTTGTACCGCAGGAGGAGCAGACAGGGCAGGTACGAGTCCCGGTGACGAGGTGCGGGAGGAGGGAGGAGCCCGCTCAGAGAGATCCTCCTTGTGACGGTGCAGTGTCTGCCTGCCCTGCATGGGACACCTGCACCTCCACCTGCACAACACTGTCCAGTATCATGCAAAAATATAATCTTTGTAAACCTGTAAGCATGCAAGTTAAACTAAAATGCCTATCCAGTTAAAAGTAGTGGAGAGTATCCACCTACACTGCAACTGACTAAAACAAAAAGTATGTAACTGCCTTTGTCACTCTGCTGCTTTATTTTGCTCACATGGAAATCCCCTGTGCCACCTTCCATGCTCTTTGGATTGAAGCTGTTTTAAATTGCATGAAACATAAAAAAAATAGAATCAGACACACTCTCAAAGGATCTATAAACAAATTCTCTGTAACATGGACACCCTTCATTGCCCTGCAGTTCCAGATTAAGCCTTTGAAACCTGAGCAAACTGAATTTATTTCTTCAAAAAAACATGGGAAGAAAGTGAAAATGAAAATGAAAGATAAAATGACCCCAAAAAAAATGAAAAACAAAAAAGGAAGAAAGTTAAAAAAAAAAAAAAAAATGACCCAGGAAGAGTGTTTAAAAATTATAATAATTCTGTGACATAATTTTAAAATGTAATAATTATAATAATAATATAATTTTCCCCAAGTTTTTATTTTATTTTATCTTTTTTACCTATTTTTTGTTTAAAAAAAATGTAAATCTTTTTTTTTTTTCAGTTTGGGGGACACAAAGTTGTTCATTTCCTTTATTTGTAAAAAATAAAAATGCAACGCAAGAGGCCTGCCCTGGACTGTTTTTATTTATTTGTCTATTTTTTGTCTTTGGTTTTGTTGTGTTTTTGTGCTATCATGCCTGTGTCACTTTTTATTTATCATGTGTGTACAAATATAGTTAATATACATACATACATACATACATACATACATACATGTTGTATAGTTGCTGCTAATGTTGTATTTTTACAGTTTTGCCAAACAATTTACAAGTGCAATGATCCTTTAAATGTAGTTCTGCTTGAAAATCCAGTGAACAAAATGGGAAAAATAAACAAATGGTGGAAAGTAACTAAGTACATTTACTTACAGTGGCTGTCTGTAAAGAAATAAGAACTGTTTTCCTTTTGTACATAGATAATAGAATTGTAGAATCTGTATTTTGGATTATGGGGATGTTATATACAGAAAAGCTGCTGCATCTACACTGAAACTACAACTTCTATGAACTACATTCATATGTGCAGTGATTCAAGTGGCTAAATTAGGCACTGTTCTTTACTTATCAGAGGAAGGGGGTGGGGGTGGCCACATGTGGCTTTGCTTTTACTTTTTGTTTTCTTTTTACCCTCCCTGAGCCCACAAATATTTTTCCTTGAGCCTCCCTGAGTGACTGGCTGAAAACGCATGACCCTCCCTCCACCGTAAATTCACTGTTAGATTTTTAAAACTTACCCTTTGATGTTTGAAAGTTAACAATTATATCCTGGAGTTGAATAAAGCCTTGGTATTTTACTCTTGTCTTTCCTGTTAGTTAACAGTTTATTTTCTAACAAATTTTCAAATGAGATGCAAAATAAAGTGATTTTGATTAAACACCACTTTTTTAAGCTCAGATTTGGGTACATTTCGTTATCTGATGAGCATTTCAAATTTCCCACGGTTCTTGGACACATCATATGCAATATGATGTGTCCAAGAACCGTGGGAAATTTGAAAATCCAACGATAATTTCTGTTTTTTACAGTTTCTTACTGTAATAAATGGCATAATAAAAAAAAACATGCCTTTGGTTTGGAAGGTGTGTTTTCTTGTTGCACCACCACCTCCCTCCTCATAGATAAAGAACAGTCCCTTAGTTGTTTGTTTGTTTGGTCTGTTTTTATGTGGTTAACTACTCAAACTGCAAACAATTTGGGGCCATAAAAAGAAAGGAATGATTTATTATTTTTATTCTACCATTGCTCCACTATTGTAATTGAACCCCATTTGATCACAGTTAGTCATAAATATTGATTATTGATCAGAGAAGTTGTTGCATGCTGTTTTAGAAGATACCTGGCTTACTGAGTAACCCTGAAGGCCGGTGTCTGACTTGATGGACGTTGTTTACAAAACCAAAGCTGACATTCCTGCACTTTCACATGAACTGTGGGATATTTTATTTATTTAGTTTACAGATGACCTGTGAACAAGTGAACACCTTTTACAATAAATTCAGTTGAGTGGCATTTTTTGCAGTATGTAACTTTTTGTGTCACATGTACATTGTAAACATCATCTTTTCATTTTCTTACATAGTCGTTTGAACTAAGTTTTCAAAGTATTTTTAGTTAACCAAACTAGATTTCTCCCGGAGATAGTTTTGATGTTGTTCAACTTCTTCCAGTGTGAAAGTATGCTTTCAAAGTAGCTCCCTTAGCCCAGTGACTACTTTAACTTAAGAGGATCTTCTTCCATCCATTTGCCGATCGTCAAAATGCGGTTTAAGATGGTTGCCTACACTCATGGGTTAAAATTCATTCTTTCATTTGACCCTAAAGAGTAAGAAATATGCTTTTTTTCCCTTTTAAGACATGAACAGAAGTCCAGTTTTTCCTTTTATATTTACCACTAGAGCACAAAACTGGTGTGATAACTGCAGTAGAAAGACAGAAAATGTGAATGTAACAGATCCTTTATGGCTTATCTTTGGTACTTGTGATAAAAAATGTGTATAAGACAACTATGACGATGAAAACTTCTGCACCTCTTTCAAAAGGTTTTTGTTTTCACTGTTGAGGTTGAACAAAAGTACCGCCAGTTTCCTTTGTTCCCAGGCCTGTGGTGACTTCTGACTGTTTAGCTCAGAGCAAAATTGGAGCGTTTACTAGGAAATGCAACTGCAAGCTTGTAATCAGTTTTAAACTCGTCTGGGGGCGTTGCTGGGGGCTGTGTTAGAGAGACGTGTCTTTGAGTAAACAGACCTGTAGAAACTGCGCTCTGGTATCAGTTAAACAGTCAATGACACACTTGTCTGCTCTGTGCTCTTCCTGATTGGTCTGAATGTGGATTTTCTTAAAGCCACTGGCTATAAACAAATGAGGGTTCCCTGAAACAAAGCACGGTTACTTGGGTAGACAAAAAGATATGTTATTGTTTTCTTAAAGGTCCCCTTCAGACATGTACCACGTGTATAAAAACACTCTGTTCTGAAATATGCAAGTTGAACGTTTCTCGCATCACTTCAACGCAGACCTCCTGTCTATTTTTGTAAGCTGAAACCATTTCCCTCAGTGGAAACCAAGCTTTTGTTTGCTTTAATTTCATTTAGTGAAGACAGTAAAGCCTCTCCAAAAACAGAATTATGTCTTGTGTGTGATTTATCCTGGCTTCATATGAGTAGAAGAAATCTCTGCTTATCGCGAGGCTAATTTATACAGTGTAAAATGCCATATGCTTGTGCTAATAACATTAGCATGTTGTATTTGTTTGGAAGATGTGTTAAGTAAATGACAGCTGTTTTGTCAGTGAACCTTGTGAGATGTAATGGAGCTGAATTTTGTAACATTACCATTGTTAAATGTTGCTGTTGTCCCTGGCTTAATATGATTAGAGGAAAATTCCGCTAGCCACTAAGCTAATTTATACAATGTAAAATGCCATAGGCTTGTGCTAATAACATTAGCATGTTGTACTTGTGGGGAAAATGTGTCCAGCGAAAGACAAATGCTCTGTCTGTAAATGCTGCGAGTTATAATGAAGCTGATTTGTGTACTTATGTTTGAAATTGTTGCTATAAAGCCATGTTTAATGTGTGTTTAATCTGTGTTTTGTGTGTGTTTGGAATCAACTAAAGTTTACAACACTTCACAGAAACTCTGCTGCCAACTAGTGTTTTGGAGGTGTAACTGCAGAGTGAGACAGACACACCTCCGCACAAGTATAAATGCTCAGAACAACATAGGCTCTGCACAGAGCTGACGCACATGTATAAATCCTGCTTAAGAAGGTCTCTGCTTTGAGGTTAGCATTAGCATGATGAATGGCAAAGTTGCTTACTAACCTGCTGTCCCACTGTCCTAAGTGACCCCGCTTTCACTTTCATCATTCTACACGGTGAAGGCCAAACTTTCATTTGAAGTTAGACGAGCAAAACACATTTTTGAGTGAAGGGGTGCTTAAAATTACATTTCAAAACAGAAAATGGTGGAGTAATTCCATGAATGAGTAATATCCAGATGTAACCGAACATCACTGTAGCACAACAGACTCTTTATTAGATGAATACTTTTCCTTAAGAGCTCTGCAAATATAAACACTGACTCAGTTTCAGATGCACTGATTTCACAGTTCTAGTCTTTTAAAATGCATTTTAAGTGGTAAACCAGCAGAAACAAGCTGTGAGATCAACAGTGACAAACATGATAGCCATTAGAGGCCTATTTATAAATCCTACAGACATGTTAGCACTCATTAGGAAATGTGTTTTTGGGCCCCCAGTGAATGTAGGCCCCAGATGTACTCTCTTTTTAAAAACGAAGCCATGTGAGCAGTTGAAGTGAACTTAAACACAAGACGCTACAAAGCTCAGTAAAACTGAAGAGAACTGCAGAGTCGGGTCATAATTCTCTGTAGGTTCAGCAATGCAAGCATCCCCTTTCACAAACATAGTCATGTTATCCAATATTGACTGTACCTGCTTTAACGATCAAGTCACATGACTGCAGTGCAAGATCATTTGATTGAATGTAAACACCACTCCATATAACGGAAACATGATACTGTCACAGCTGGTTTTTAGGTAGTTCTCATAGTTACATTATAAAAAAAACAACACCCTCCTTAAGTCACAAAGTAATTATTATAAAACTATAAGGATGTATGTACTTCAGAGGTCCAGTGTGTAAGATGTAGGGGATTTAGTGTCTTACAGCAGTAAAGACAGTCAAACCGACGGTTTGTCGAACCTCGGATTCAGGAGGAGCAATGCGGATTCTGTCCTGGCTGTGGAACAATGGACCAACTCTTTACCCTTGCGACGCTGCTGGAGGGATTGTGGGAGTTTGCCCATCAAGTCTACAAGTGTTTTGTGGACTTGGAGAGGGCTTACGTCCATGTCGCTTCAGAAGTCTTGTGGGGGGTACTACGGGACTAGGGGGTATCGGGCTTGCTGGTACAAGCCATTAGGTCCCTGTATGACCAAAGAGTTGCGTTCGCATACTCGACATTAAGTCAAACGTGATCTCGGTGGGTGTTGGCCTGTTTGTGATTTTCATGGACAGAATCTTTAGGTGCAGCCGTGGGAGGAAGGGGTTTGGTTTGGGAACCTCAGAATTGCATCTCTGCTTTTTGCAGATGATGTGGTTCTGTTCGCTTCATCACACCTTGACCTCCAGCATGCACTGGGAAAGCCAAATGTAAAGTTGTCGGGATGAGAGTCAACACCTCCAAATCTGAGGCCACGTTGTTCACAAGTGAGGGTAGAATGGAGTGTGAGATGTACCGCCGGTTTGGTGCAGCTTCTGCAGTGATGCGAGCGCTGTGCCGGACTGTCGTGGAAGGCGAAGCTTTTGATTTACTGGTCCATCTACTACACAGGTTGATTTTAGAGCTGGTCATCGTGGACTATATTGCTGTCATTGTTCATTTCAGTCAAACCATACAGTTTGAAAATGAGGCGCGGCTCCAACTAGAAAACAATGTTTTGATGCATTGGATGTGCTGAATGTGCATATTAAGGCAGTACAGGAGGAGGTGCACATTAATAATCCTCCAGGAATGTAACATGCTCATGTTTAACCCAAACAATGTGTCATGTGACTGCAGTTGGTTCAGATCCAGGTCGGAACACGCTCTCACCACAAACGAACCGTACTATGAGTTTGTTTGTAACCGGACCGAGACCACCTCTTCAACATGGTCTCAGTCTGGTTGTTTTGGTGCACACCTGAGTGTGATTTCCTAGTTCACACCTGCCCAAACGAACTGCACATTGGGGGCAAATGAACTTGAATTTGATTAAACTGAACCATTATCAAAGAATTATTATATTAGCTTCGATTTCTGCCAATAAATCCCCATTAATCCTACACACTGGACCTTTAACACTTGACTTTTGAAATACTGACAAATGGACATGCCCTTGCACACACTTACAAACTGACCACGCAAATACATAGCTGTATTAGGGCAGTCTTCTATCAGGAGAGACCTCAGAGATCAAGTCCAAAAGACTAACGTCCCGACTGATGAAGACACATCTGGCGTCAAAAGCGTCTTTTTAGCAAGGTTTGTTGCCTCTACTCTTTGTGCTCATGTACAGTTTGGACTTAATCTCTAATCTCCTGATAGAAGACTACCCTACTCTGAAAGCACCAGAGAGACGTGCCACTCTTTAAGTGTGCTAAACCTTTTCCTTCCTCTACACCACTGTTGCTTTAGGCATCTGTGGATGATTTGAGCTGCTGCAGTTCCGCATTGTCTATGCGGATCTGTGCCGACTTTTTCCGGCCATTCTGGAAGACAGCAGCAATCTCCTCAAAAGATTTTCCCTTGGTTTCAGGGACCCGGAAATAAATAAAGGCAGTGAAGCCGAAAAGCAGAACAGCAAACAGGATGAAAACATAAGAATCCAACAAAGCCTGTAAAAAAAGAAAAAAAAAAGACAGTCAGGAGGGACAGTGTGTCTGGTTTTCTGAGTTTACTGTACATATGTGTGTCCTCTCTGCCTACCTGTATGTATGGAAAGGTCATGCCTATGATGAAGTTGCTGGTCCAGTTGCAGCAGCCAGCTAAAGCGATAGCTGCAGGCCGAGGTCCTTGGCTGAACAGTTCAGCGACTATGAACCATGGAATGGGACCAGGACCGATTTCAAAGAAACTCACAAAGAGGAAGATTGCTGACATGCTGACGTAGCTCATCCATGAGTATTCATCCTGGAGAGAGAAGTTCATCAGTCAGGGTAGTTTTCTGATTACTTAACATGATAAAATGCTGCCTGAGAAAGAGCACTTAAGCAGGATTTATACTTGTGTGTCAGCTCTATGCAGAGCCTACGCTGTTGTGAGCATTTATAGGCTACTTGTGTGGTGGTGTGTCTGTGTCACTCTGCAGTCACACCTCGAAAACACTAGTCAGTGGTGGGGTTTCTGTGTTTTGTGTTTCAAAACACACAAACATGCTTTAATAGAGACAATGTCAAACACAATTAAACAAATCAGCTTCAATATAACTCGCAGCATTCACAGACAAAGCACTTTTCTTTTGTTCAACACATTTTCCCCACAAATACAACATGCTAATGTTTTTAGCACAAGCCTATGGCATTTTACATTGTATAAATTAGCCTAGCAGCTAACAGACTTCTCCTCTACTCATATGAAGCCAGGGACAACAGCAAGATTTAACAAAGGTAATGTTACACAATTTGGCTCCATTACAACTTACAAGGTTCACTGACAAAACAACTGTCTTATACTAAACACATTTTCTAAATAAATACAACATGCTAACGTTATTAGCATACGTCTATGGCATTTTACATTGTATAAATTAGCCTAGCGACAAGCAGAGATTTCCTCTGCTCATATGAAGCCAAGATAAATCACACACAAGACTTAAATGCTATTTTTTGTGGTTGTTCTTATGTCAAATTCAGAAGGATAAAAAACATATTTACTCTTCACAAACCTTTATTTGTCAAGACATGTCAGTAAAGTGAGTTATTTAGTTTGAAACAAATGTCCCTTCTAACAAATATGTGGAGTTTAGGAGGACAGCCACACTAGTGTAACTTTTCAGGCCCCCATTTGATCAATACATGCTGAGAACACTGCGGCGCTGATGCTGTCATGGATGCTTTGATAAACTTGCCCAACTTCCCTCCTCACTTGGCAGATATATAGTCAGTGATCTTGATGCATTAATCCACAGAGAGGAAGTGGTGGGCAGAGTGAGAGTGAAATTGGTGTGCATAGATTTCCTTTCTTCAAAAAATGTAAGACTTGAAGTCTCCAACATGGGTGAGCACAAAAACTGCTAAGGAAAACAAAAAGCTTGTGGCGACAGCTGAGCTCTACCCAACTGAGCAAACTGAGCTGCTGATGAAGACCATGAGATGCAGCTGAAAGCTCCAGAAAAAGCTGGCAAGTGGACTTTTGAAGTTTCAGTCTCAAACTAGCCACACAGATGTCATGTTGACAACAACACAACAGGATGACCTACACTGCTAAACAAGTTTGTCTCAGTGCGTCATTACCTGGTGGTGACGAACAAAACAAACAATTAAAGGCCACGTCAATAAAACTGGCCAGTCACAAAAATAGATTGGAGTTCAGCTCTGGTCGTTGACAAACTAAAGCTGTGACACATGATTTAACAAACCTGGAATCTGAGGCCGAGTGTCATGGCAACTGCACAGCAACACATCCCTGCCAGACCAACCAGAGTCAGAGTGCGCCTGCCAGCCTTGTCCACCAGAGCAACCTAGAACATAACAGTGTTAACATTAACAGTGTTTACCTGTGTGTTAGTGTGTGGTATGTGTGTTGAAGAAATAAGGAAATACAAGTGTGCGTTAATGGTTTAACGTCCATACGTGTGTCCCAGGCAGTAATTTTAATATATATTGGGGGTGATCATACACTGACTAATACAGATGGATGACTCAACCTCTCTCTTAAAGTGAAGCCAAAACAATTTGACCACCCTGTGGTGGCTGGCTGCAGTATAGGTTATAAACCCTGCCCCTTCCATGTTAGCAGATGGGCTACACAAAAATTTCAAAGTGTATGTTAAATAAATTTTTCCCAAAGACTGTTTCTGTCATTTTAGGTAGTTCTTCAGACTGATGTTTGCTCAAGTGGTCATTTTCTTAAAAAACATTCTCCAGGTCTTTATTGTATATTTCTTATTGTAAATTAAATTGTGCAGCATGTGTCTGTCATGTTTATTGTGTAAGGCAGAAATTTGTTACCTTGGGATAGACTCCAGCCCCCCCATGACCCAACAGGATAAGGGGTTACAGAAAATGAATGAATGAATGAATGAATGAATGAATGAATGAATGACTGCTGGTTCTTGTGTTATGCTGTGCTGCAGTTCTGTATGTGGTTTGTACAAATGGCTGCACCTCAGCAGAAGCTGTAGCTTGACTGCTGTCGGTAGGTACAATCAGTGTCACACTGTGCTGCCTCTATTATGTAGGCCTTATCACTGTCTGTAGTTTTTGGAAAGGGTTACTATATCATAAAAAAAGGTCATAAAAAAAAGTCATAATATAGTCACAGTTTGAGAACTTTGAGAACCGCTGTGTTGAGATCTTTGTTTCAAAATGCTCTAGATTAGCTGTTAAGTTTCTAGAGATTTCTCTTGAGGGATTCCCTGTAGACCCCCCAGGAGGGTTGGTGCTGATTGACAGTGGTTGGCCCAATGTTAAATAGGTGATTACAGCCCTGTGTGTGCATGTGTCTGTGTGTGTTATGCATCTGCATGCATGCAAATGTAGCTACTCACAGACACCAGAGTGAAGACTGTGTTGATGGCCCCGACTCCTATTGTGGCATAGACCGGCTGACCAACACCAGCCCGAGTGAAGATAGCCGTGGAGTAATAAAAGATCTGCAAGACAAAACAAATATAAAAGAGCAGTTTGTGTGTTTGGAATACAGAGAGTATATGGGAGGCTATATATTTTTATGGACATAACAAAAACCTAGTTACTGCTACTCTGACATTGAAGCCAGAATTGTCCTGTCTTATCATATCATCATGATCACTTTAATTTAAATGTAACTCCAGCAAACTGAATGAGAGGCAGAGGAAGGCAGAGTTGAAATTAATTTGTCACTCACCGCGTTGATGCCAGATAACTGTTGGGAGAGGTGCATCATGAGGGCGACAAACAGCTGCTGTCTGTACACGGAGGAGCGGATCTTGGAGAGAACACAGAGGAGTACGATACTGTCACTTGCCGCAATGCTTTTCTAAAAACACGATTAAAATGCACATACATTATCGTTTAACTTATGACCTGATGCTGATTTCTAGTCCTATCTGTGCTGTCCTTCTGTTTCTGATTCTGTGCATAAAATAAGTATTTTAATGTGTAATCTTTTAGTTTCACGTGGGAGCCAAACACTCATCTGAAGCCTTCTTACAGTAGATTGTGCCGTAGAGTGTATTTTCCATTGATTCAATTATTTTTCTATACAAACAAATTATTAAGAAGTAGTATGAAATCTCATTTCATATTAGTAAGATGAGTTTAAAAATGATTATCTAGCCATTCCATGGTTATGTTACACAATTTGTCTGGGTTTATTCATGGTATTATTTAATAATGTCATATTTATTCAATTGTAAACACTTTGAGTCTCCAGACTTCGGAGGTTTAAGTCAAGCACTCAAAATTTTACCTGAGTGAATGTAGATAAATATTACAGTTCTGACATATTAATATGAAAGGTCATTGCCTCTGCTATCCTGGGAGATGCAAATACACTAAGTGGACTGTAGTGAAACAAAGCTGCAGGATGTTGTAGTTTGTCTGTCATCTTACATTTGCACTTACCTCACGCCCACTGTCAACCAAAGCCTTGCACCATCATTTAAAATAGTTGTATTACATTGACACTGCATATACTGTGCTAGACAGGAAATGAAATGAGATCTGGAGCACATGGTAGTAGTAAGAGCTTTAATAAGGTACAGGTTTACGCAGGTACAAAGCATGTCTTCATCAGAGTTACTCTGATGTCGACACTTTAGTTGATGCACCTTATTTAAAACTCGTACAGCCGTGTGCTCCAGATCTCATCTCTCTGGGTCCTGCCTCAGTTGCACTGGCACTGCTTTGAGCTTCTCTCACATATTTAACTAATGATTTAACATTAACTAATATCGAGTCTTTACATGAGAACATCAGTGTACTTTGGCTGCTGATTAATTGGGAAAGTTGAGAAACTGTCTCTGTCCACACTGAGGAGGCACGTGATGCCTGACTTATGTTGATTTTTCAGGACATTACAGTGTAATGAAAGTGTTCTGGAAGTTCGGGGAACTTTTTTTTCGAAACCCCCCAAAATCAATCTTATATACAGACTTACCAAAGACAGGATAGAGACCCTGGGCTCCTTGTCTGCTTCGTCTTTCTCTCTCTTCATCTCCTCCAGATCAGGAGTTGCATCATAGGCCCCCTTTAGACGATGCAGACCTGCAGCAGGACACAGAGCAAAGAGAAAAAGGAGCAAGAGTCTGTAAAAATGATGTATTTACAGTGTTGGGAGAAGTTTTCAGATCCTTCACTTAAGTATAATTAGCACTACCATAATGTACAGATGATCCATCCATCCATACAAGTAAAAGTCGCCTACAGCTTTCACATATTTATGATAATATGCAAGTATTGTTAGCAAAATGCACTTTAAGGAATAGTAGTGCATTATGGGAAATGCGCTCAATTGCTTTCTTGCTGAGAGTTAGATGGAAAAACTATACCACCTTCATGTCTGTACAGTAAATATAAGGAACAGTCAGCAGCTGGTTAGCTTAGCTTAGCTTATCTTAACTTAGCTTTAAGATTGGAAACAAAGGGACACAACTAGCCCGGCTCTGTTTTAAGCTACCAGCACCTCCAAATATACTTCAGTGTATCCTCATACAATGCTTTATATGATACCCTATGAAAATTCACATACAATGGTCTCTATTAGCACCTAACAAGTTAGCGCCCTTGCCGGTTAGGTTAGGTTTTGGAAAAGAATCATGGTTGGCTGATGTCGTGTTACATACTTAATGAAAAGTTACTTAGGTTGGGTTTGGGAAAGTAAAGTTACATAGGTGATGTTTTGGATAGTAAAATTACATATCCTTCTTTAAGCAGGTCAACCACATTTCTAGTAGTAGTTCTATGATATTTACCATAGTCAGGATTACTGATTATTAGGCATAATAAGGTATTTTTCTCTGTAAATTCCAGGGTATTTAGTCGTATTCCAAGAATACTGAAATAGCATTGGATGCTAAATTTAAGTAAATTTTCCTACATATTAAGAGCATAATTCTTAAATCTATTCTTTGTATCAGGACAAATGTACTTGTTTTAAGTAGCTTTACTGGTTTTAAAATATATTGCCTTATGTCAAGACTTTGGCGCTAGCATGTACTAAATTTAAGCACATTTACCTACATATTGAGAGAATAGTAGTTAAATATTTTCTTTGTATCAGGACATCACATGTACTGTTGTCAAATTTTTCCGATTCTGTTGGCAGATAATTTTGCTAATTTTAAGTAGCATTTCCCCCAATTCAATACCTTTTTTCTTGTTTTTGAAAGCCAACGTAAGACCCTACCAGCATTTTTATGTGGGGCCCATGTGGGTAGTAAATGGGTCGAGAAATGGGCTCTATATGGGATTGTCCATGGGTTCCGTATTGGCCCCATGCCAATTGCCCACATCGATGGCTTTACCCAAGTGGGACCCCACACAGTTATACTATGGCTTATTGGGTACCAAGTAGGTATGAACCCACATTGGGAATCTTATCTGTGGCCCACTTAGGTAAACCCACCCATATGGGCAAGTGGCATGGGGCCAATATGTAACTCATGAACAACACCAAATAGGGCCCATTTTACAGCACATGTACTACCCATATGGGCCCCACATACAAATGTTAACTGGGGAAACATGGTTGGGTTCCGTCATGTTACGTAGGATGTGTGTTATCTTAAAATAACTCAAAGAGTACTTGGTTTTACACAGAACACGAACACCGATCTCCCGTGGGAAACTTGTAATTGTTTGACTCATCCACCAGTCTGCCTACTTATGCGGACCTTTTCTCTTTATACTACTTCCTTCTGTACTCCTGTCAGCGCATTCATCAGATGTTTACAGCTTTCACAATAACGTGGGTTATAAATTAATTAATAGCTTGTGATTATGTGGGATACAAATTTTGATGCATTCATTTTCTTTATAAAGACAAACAGTAGACGAGAAAAGCCTGACACGTTACACCTTGTAACATAACAAAACAGGGGTAATGGCCAGAATATTTGTTGGCTACCAAGAAAAATTCTGGCACGTAAACAGCAAATTCACATTTTTAGTGAGTTTAAATTTTTCCACAGATTAAATGAATGATTTACAACATGTTCATTAGTGAGCTTTAAAGGTGCTGAGAGTGTATTTTGTGAACTTTGGACAGAGTCAAGCTAGCTGGGTTTCTGTTTCCAGTCTTTGTGCTAAGCTAAGCTAAGCTACATCTAGATGACGGCGTGCGAAGTCGCAGAGACCAGGAGCTCTCTGCTTTTACTTACTGTTTATCATATATCTTAAAAATATAGATATGAATGTGTGTGTATGTGATTGTGAGAATGGTGTGATGAGCAGGTGTGTGTTGGTGCATGTGTAAACATTTATATGCTGCTATCTGTCTGTCTGTCTGTCTATCTATCTATCTATCTGAGCTAAGCTAACTGGCTGCTGGCCGTAGCCTTGTATTTAGGCTATAGCAGTCAAACATAAGAATGGTATTGACCTTAACATCTAAGTCTTTGCAAGAACGTGGACAAAAATTGCCGAACTCTTACGCTACGATACCCTTTAGAGTATCTTGTACCTTTATACTGTATGTTTCTGAATGGTAGTGTTTTAGTTGCTGTGTGTAGCTCTTACTTTTTCGAGCCTCCTGCTCCTTGTTGAGTACAATGTAAAGGTACCGTGGGCTCTCGGGGCACAGAGGCAGCAGAAGGGATTGTAACACTGCCGGAGCTCCAGACAAACCAAGCAACACAGGCCACATTTCATCGTTACCAAATAAAAAGTCCAATCCTATTACCTGTGTTCACACACAAACACACACACACACACACACACACACACAGTTTATGTTATTTACTCAGTGTGTCATTAAGCAAAGACGCTGCTGAGCATATGTGTGTGTGAGTGCACCTCACCTGGCTGATGAGGATGCCAATAACAATGGCCAGCTGGTGTAATGTGCCCAGAGCCCCTCTGTAAGCCTTGGGTGCAATCTCTCCAATATACATCGGCACTAACCCAGATGTCAACCCTGAAACACACACATCATGACGCCTTTAAAACAAACATTCGCTGTTGGACATATGGCAATACAGGAAGGCAATATTTCTGTGCAATTTAGGAATTTATAACCCACAAACATTACTCTACCACAGTAAAAGCCCATGATGGCGCGGCCGGAGATGACCATGATGTGAGGTTTCCACATCTTGCAAAGACCCATCAGCAGTCCGGCAGCTACAGCCAGAACATTGACCATTAGCATGCCCTTTACCCTGCAAGACAGAAAGACACAGAAAGGGGGGTACAAAGATTGATGGATGATGGATAAAGGCATGAGTACCATGGCGTCATTCAAAACTGATGCTGGTTTGACTTCAACTTTGATTTTCCATTTTTATCCTTACTGTCTCACCTCCCTTTCAGGTCTCCCACAAATCCCACCAGGAAGGACGATAGCATGCCGCCGATGGAGAAGATAGCCACCGACAATGACCAATACATGACCACGTCAGGGTGTTGTCCCGCCTCTGGGAGCCCTTCTTCATCTGTGCTGTTTTCTGACAGGACAGCAGCCCTCTCTGACCACACCCCCAGGGACCTCCCATAATGCTTTTCAATGACCTGTGGCACAGACATGTATCATCAAGAGGTACAGTCATGGCTTTTCACTGAACCACTGACATAAGTAACTTATAATTTCACCACCTTTGTTTGCTAAAATGCTAATATTATTTAGCGTGGCATTCATTTCGAGTAAGATCTCCCACTCATATCTCTCCTCTTGTGTTTTTGGCTTCAGAAAAACTTTGACGCTTTTGTATTTTCTCTTATTCTGAAAGCTTGACAGGCCTCCTGTGCTTAGTTATGGTTGATGGTGAAGGCTCACAGTCATCCAGGTCATGGTATTCCTAAGTCCTATATCTGAGGCAATTAGACTTACTTAAGTTTCTTGAAGACTTTTCACCTCTCATCAAAGAAGCTTCTTCAGTTCTGATGGACTGGTGTGGAGTCGCCCTGTGTGGGTGTGAATCCTTACAGAGTCGTTAAGGTTACACCTGGCCATCATGTGTGTCATTAGGATTAGACGGGTCCAGGTGTGAATGGGTGTTAAGTCATCTGGGAAGGGATCTCAAGACTGCATTGTAGATGGTTCAACACCACTGATCACCCACCTACAGTGCACACCCACACAGGGTTTAAAGCCTGTGACTATGCACCAGTCTGTTAGAACTGAAGAAGCCTCTTAGATGAGAGGTGAAACGTCTTCAAGAGACGCAAGCAAGTCCAGTTGCCTACAATCTAGCACTTAAGATTAGTTACAGATGGTAACTAAGGATTGGACAGTGGCCATTCTAGGAACGGGTTCAACAAAGGGTCAGTAAAGTGCTGCAGGGATTACTTTTTTTTGTAGGCTGACGCAGAAGCTAGCTTCGCCCTGATTCCTTCGTCAAAAAGCTAATGGGGTTTTGCAGAAAATAAGATTTGTGGCAAACAAAAATGTACGATACTTAGATGTACTTTACGCTCAGCATGATCTTTTTCGCAAAATAACACCACTTTTATGATATTTAAAGCTTTAATGCAATTACCAGACACTAACTAAAGCTAACGTTAGTCTATGAACGAACTATACTACGGCTGCATGACTTCAACGTTGCCACCACAATGAGGCTGTTAAGCCCACATAAGACACGTAAAAGCTTCAAAACTCATGGGTTGGGCATTTACTGACATATTTTTTGTCATTAAAGACTTTTTTTGTTTGTTAGCTTCATTCAAAAACCCATTGACTTTAAGACGGGAGTAGTAAAATGCTAACTCATTTCTGGGTTTTAGGACTCATTCCTGCACCACTCTATTAAGACATTCCACAAATTGATCTGTATGGAGGCGTTGTGTCATCTTTTGACCTTACCAGATCACAGCCTTTGAATTATTAAGAAAAACAGAAGCGGTAATATCACTGGCAGATGTGACCGCAAGGTTTAGGACATTTGCTTCATACTTAACATTTACATCTGCTGTATGGTCTCTGTCCCAGAGTCGAAGTCAAAGCTTTAATTGGCTGATTCTGTGACAGAAATGGCTGTAAACACAGAGGGCAGCATGTCTCTTGCCTGCCAGAGCCTCCATTCCAATCTCCTCTACACAGTCTGAGATATATGCCACAGTGGGGCCAATGAAGGCAGACTTCATCTACAATGCTGGACGGTATAGAAAGGACCTAGTCTGCAGGGGCAGTAAAAGAGTGCAATGCCATCTGAACAGAACTAGACTGGAGAATGTCCTCATCAGAGCAATCTGTGATGGGCATAGTGCTGCCTTTCGGCAAGGAATGAAGTTGTGCCAACTCTGCCTGCAGCACAGAGACATTCTGACTCTTCTGCTGCTCCACAAGACGTGTGTTTGTTGGAAAGGCACTCAAAGTGCTACTCTTTACAGGCCAGAGAATTTCAGACAGCTTGCAAAGTTTCAGATGAAACAATCCTCGGAGGGCTGCGCAACAAAACTTGGGAAAAAGTTTGGGGGAAAGTTGTGTCTCTAGACACTGAGGAAAGGTATGTCTGTTCCTTGGTCTCTCAGAGTATTACATTAGCGCTACTGCTGCAGGAAACTGTATACAGAGAACTTGTTTTATAGGGCGAGTAGCCATAGGGTGGAGTAAGATCATCCTGATTGGCTGATTTGCATGCAAATATCAGTATGCTGAGGCAATTAGATGGTCCACTGAGGGACTGGAGCCTGTGTTAAAGTAGAGCCTACCTTCTGCGGTGCATTGATGACTCCAAGACTGTAGCCGTACTGCAGGGACCCCAGAGCTGCTGTGAACACAGCCAGGGCCAGTGTACCTGTTAGCTGCTGCAGGAGTGAAAGGTAATCACTTAGATAAGAACACACACACACACACACATGAATGCATGAACAAACATGTTACATGCACACAAGCAAGAGCATGAGTCCCTCAGCTGTACTTGCCAAGTACACAATCACAAATAAAATCACATTTAGAAATGCAGAATAAATCCTTTGTCTACATTACTGATAGATTTATTATGGCTTCATGCACTATTTCTGACAATTATAAGAATGCGCACATACAGATCTTACATAAGAATGCTTAAATCAAACATTTTGCTTGTGCTAAAGGTATGTTTGATCTTGTTGTAGCACACACATAAGAATTTAATTCATTACAGTCTCCTAAATGATAAGACAAACACAGACCACAGTCATCAATACAGGATTGTTTCTTTAGATCCAAGTGGGAAATGTAACCCCTCTAAGTCTTCATATGTCAACAACATAAGGTGACCAGGCACCTGTTAGCAAATATTGCCGACATGATTTAGAACAAAGACGCAGAATATATTGCCGTTTGGTGATATACATGCAAAGAATGTACTTTGCCGAGATTATCTTACCTTCCCCGACTCCATGATGGGTCCAGAGTGTCAGCCAGGTTGGTAATGATCAATGAGGCTGCATGCTTGATCACGCTGTGTCCACTCACTAATGACAAACATGGGCATGCACATGCACAAATTGATCTCCAATGCTGAAAGAGCTCAACACGTAAATGAAGCAGAGGTCTTATTTATTGAAAAAAAAAAGAATGAGAATTAGGGTGACCAAACTGTGAGATCTGGAGTCTATTTTTGGAAAACACTGGTTTCAGACTGGTTGTGTGTGGTGTTCCATGCTGGTATATTATTGACAATGATCAACTGTATGTTGCAGTTGATAATGGTGTGCAAAATTACTGGCAAGTTAATTTAAAGTCGGGATTATTTGATAGTAATATTGACATTTGGACACTGTTTTCTCTCTCTAACACACACACACACACACACACACACACACTTGCTGTTAATGATATACTTGAGGGACGGACAAAGTCTGAGGGTCGCAGCTGATACAAACGTCCATGCTTGCAAAAAAAAGTACAGCCTTTCTCACAAACACATCCATAAAAAAAGACCTCACAACTCCAGCACTGTCATAATGCTCTAGTTTCATTTATTTCTCTCTTACAGCATCTCTTTTACAAAACAAATAAATCCCAAAACAGGACATTAGTAATGCTCTTTCAAAATAAAGAAAAACAAGAAAATGAACAGAATAAAGAATACAGTGGTTTCGTCTTTGAAAGGAGAGTCCTCAGTGTAATGACCGTCAGCCTTTTCCGATGGGAAGAGTGGATTCTGTGATGGACAAAAGTAGTAATAATGCCCCAGTCACACTTGCTCATTGACCATACACACAGATGCATGCGTGCACACACGTTGGGAAGACAGTGGTTTTCTTCAGCTCGGCTCTTTATTGCTAAGACGTTAGCTTGCTCTCCCTAACAGAGACCGGTGAACCTGACATACAGCTGGCTACTGTGTGGATGTGTAAAAAGTCTTTGAAAATATAACTGAATCTTTTTAGAAAATAAGTTAACAGAGAAGAACTTGATTGAAATGATCATTACATCATTGGGGAATGAGTCTGTTTTTTGTGCTACCTTACGCTTATTAACCATAGGCTAGACTCTGTGGGGCCCCAGGCATAGAAATGTATCAAGGTCATTCGGTAACTAGGTGGGGCCCCAGTTTGGGTTTTCTGGGGGGAAAGCAGCAGTGCACTGTATAGTGCCTTTATTGGAGGTTTAAGAGGGTTTATAGTGCCAATATGAACGGCCACTGGGGGCCCCTTTTCCCACATTCTCCTAACAGTGTGCCCCTGACCATAGGCCAACATGGCCGCCCAAACCGACGGTATATTCACCAGAAAAAAAGACTAATGTGCATTACAGTGCTCTCCAATGTGGATGAGTATGCATGAAATAGTCCACCCTCAAACAGTGTTATAAATTTAATACAGTATGTATTAATGATTGAACTGTGTTTAGAAAGAACTGATTTTTTATCATATTCAGTTACTCCTTTCAAAGAATAAATCTTCAAGTGTAACTTTGGTACTTTTCAACCTTGACCCAAGTGACTGATGGGAACAATTTCTGAGATTGGTTCAGTATGAAACCACTCACGGCACTTAAACTACTTCTTTTTGCCACTGACAGGCTCAGATTGTTATTCCAAGTGTCTGACAACGTATAGAAATGATTCCTAAAGAGATGGACCCTTTTGTTGAGAGTAACATACTTTTTGTGTAACCAGAAACAGTGTCAAAATCACTATCTGTAAACTCACCAGACTGCATTTAAAAAACGAGCGATTTTAGCATGTGTAGATCCAGCATATTTTCACATCTAACTGGGTGAATTAAAGGTTTATTTCAACCAAACCAGAGTTGGTGCTTGTTGGAACAGTGGAAAGATGAATCAAAACGGTTTTTGTGAGTTTTATTTTGCTTCTTTTGCCTCTGAATGAAGTGTGTTTTACAATGACAGAACTTGCGTTTTTTTAAATGGAGTCTGGTTTGGTGATACCAGTGTTTCTGGTTAAACAAAAATGATCTTAATATCTTTCAAGAGATTTTTTGGGGGCTTTTATGCCTTTATTGGACAGGGCAGATTGGGTATGGGGGGGGGATTGTGCCTGTGGCCACTGCGGGTAGGGCATTGCCTTTGTATATGGGACACCAGCTCTACCCATTGAGCTACTGGGCACCCCAGGGATCTTATTCTTCAACAAAAAAAGATCTCTCTCTGTAGGGATACTTTCCATAATGGTGTCATACCCTTACAATAAAATTTTGAGCCTCTTAGTGGCAAAAACAAGCATTTTTAGTGGACGTAAATTGACAGTGCACGATTGCCCCTTCACATTACATTGCAAGCTGTTTCGCCACTGGTGGCTGAAGCCCTCTCGCTCTATACTGGACAAATTCCAAAACAGCTGTCTCCATTAGTCACTTAGACACAAAAATACAGAAAAAGGGGTCCAGATTGAAAAATACAGAACTTACCCTTTAAATTTGTTAATGTACATCTCTGTTAGAAGAGACAAGAATCAGCAATGTGTTAAAGTTAAGACAGTAACACACACAAAAAAACCTCCAGTGTAAATTAAGCATATATATTGTGAGAGACAACTTTTTGGACTCCATTCTTGTTTTGCTTACATCATGCTAGGCACTGTGCAAACAGTTAAGAGCCAAAAATCAGACGAACCAATCAGGGAGGAGCAGGATTCAAAAGGAACACCACAGCTTTCGTCAGTGAGTGCTTTCACATGCGCACAGTATTCAGGATCGCGGCTTGTATGCTGTTGAGGTTGTAGTCAGGATGAGCCCCTTTAAATTCCCCTACAGCAGCATGGCTGTATTTGTGGCGAGCCAAAATACTACTGCGTTAAAAGGAAACAGAAAAACACTCCAAAAGAAAATCAACCACTAATATTGCCTATCTTTAAATGCTCGGCGTTCAGACACACCAACTCATAAACTTCAGACTAAGATATTATCATAAACCTGCATGTAAACACACTCAATGTTGCTTTGATCGCATCTGGATGAAAGTTCACGCATAGAGACTGAATTATTTGACTGTTTTTTTTTCACCCATTGATTTCAGCGTCCCACTTTGATTCAACCTTGATTTGAACGGGACTCAACATCAAGTCACACACACACACACGCACACACACACACACATATGCACACACTCACGCACACACCGACATACGCTCCTGATTTCAGAGACACAGATGTGCTGTACATTTCATCACGCTTCAAAGACTGACTGACTCAGTCACAGAAAAAGAAAAGAAGAGAACTAAAAAGAATGAACAGAATGATGCTCTCATTGTTCATTTAATATTACAGTATATCTGATGCAGCACCTTCAGAGTTTAAAGAGTGAAAACAGGGAGATGAGAGTGATGTTGACGATGATGATGATGATGGTGGGGGGGGGGGGGGGGGGGGGTGACAGGAGGAAGGAAAGAGAGGGAAAAAGGATGGACCAGTGATTTCATTTTAAAGGGACACAGACATCATCTTTGCATACTGTGACAACCTGCTCATGACAGCAAATTGTCTCGCCCGTATCTCTATCAGCGAGATGCGATCGAACACTAAATCACAATTCAGTTTGCTCAGGGCCTGAAAAGATGACGAGAGGAGGAAATGGAGGAAGAGGAGGAGGGGACAGAGGAGAAAGAAAATCAATCAGGCTGTCTGCTTTCACCGCCGACACCCAGAGTAGATTTGTCATCCTGCAGCTGCCCCCACTGCACTGTCATATTCACAAGTATATATTTGAATTTATATTAAATCTCATTCATCTATCCCTCCGACCTCTGAGGTGTTAAGTTCGCCGGGAATGAGCCCACACATGGCAGATAGGAAGTGAGGAAAATGGAGGACATGGGTGTCAAAGGATTGACAAAGTGATGACTAGATCTACAAGGAAGGAGGGACGGAGCAGAGGATTAAGGAGTGGGGACGAGAGACAGAAGGAGGCGGGTGTAAAGTGTATTTCTACAGCTGTCAAACACTTGAATGCACTGGTCCGAGAATTCACAGACAGAGCGGGATAAGAGTTACAGAAAGAGACAGAGGAAGAGAATATTTGGAAAGTCAGTGGCACCAGTTTGCCAGTCAGTTGAGTAACGATGGCTTCTGCATGACCCGAAATAATCTAGGGCAACACGTCTCTTCATTTAGAACAGGTCTTTGTTGTTTTTCTCTACAATAACTTTTTTTGTTTGTTTTTTTTTTGTTTCTACGCGGTTTTAGTCTCTCCAGTGTTAAAAGAGTTCACTTATGGCCTCTCAGTCGATCTGGTTCATTTGTGAGATGTGCCGTGGGCAAAGGTGGGTCGCCGGGCAGGCCAGTGGGAGAGTGAGGCAGAGTGGACAGTGGGAGGCGCCATCACCAGTTCATCATGGAGCTTCTGTTGAGGGTCATGAAGAAAACTTGGCTGCTACCTCCTGAACGCACCGATGCGAAGAATACCTACAGAGAGACACAGAGAATATTACCAACTAGAATCATAATCCCTGTTTGTGTTATTTATAATCAAATAAGGCTAGTTCAGGCATCTCAATCTATAAGTGCACTGTAGCATTTCAGTATAATCTCTTTTTGCATTTAAAGGGACAGTTCACCCTCAAATCAAAAGTACGTACATTTTTTTTCTTACCTGTAGTGCTATCTATCAGTCTAGATTATTTTGGTGTGAGTTGCCAAGTGTTGGAGATATCGGCCGTAGAGATATCTGCCTTCTCTTCACTATAATGGAACTAGATGGCACTCGGCTTGTGGCACTCACCGTGCAAAATGAAGCTTGCATCTGCTGCTAGCTCACCGAGCACCACTGAGCTAGCTAACGTTACAGCTCAGTCAAGGAGAACACCATTAATGTTTACATCTCATGCTGTCACATGCACAAGCCTCTCATCTTTGAGTAGATGCTAAATCTGTGCAGTGAAACAGTTGTCGGCTAACAGCTAACATAATGGAAACAGATGACACTCGGTTTGTGGTGCTCAAAGCGACAAAAAAGAAAAACTCAACATCAGTGTGTCTTTTCAAAAATCATGACACAGCTTTTCAAGATAATCCACAGACGTTGTTGTGAGCAGTTTCATGTTGGAACTATTTTCTTTATACTACGCTTTACCCACTGACCGTATTACAGGGCAGAAGGAAGTGTGCATCTACTGCTAACTGACATAGCATCACTGAGCTAGCTAACTTTACAGCTCAGCTGAGGAGGCAGTCATTAATGTTTACATCTTGCACTGTCACAAGCTTCTCATCCATGAGTAGATGCACGCTTCCTTCTGTGCAGTGATTCTGCTGGCGCATGTGGTATGGTAGAATGAAAATAGTTCCTACATGAAACTGCTCAGCAGAAGAGGATGCCGTGAGTGTTTACATCTTATGCTGTTAGACATCATGACCTCATTGTGAGCAGTTTCATGTAGGAACTCTTTTCTTTCTACGATACTACACCCATCAACTGTATCACTACACAGAAGGAAGTGTGCATCTATTCATGGACAAGGCTTGTGACAGTGCCAGATGTAAACATTAACAGCATCCTCCTCAGCTGAGCTGCAACATTAGCTAGCTCAGTGGTGCTAGGTGAGCTAGCAGTAGATGCACGCTTCCTTCTGCCTGGTGACACAGTTGGCGGGTGTAGTTCGGTACAAAGAAAACATTTCCCACAACAAGGTCTGTTGATTATCTTGAGTAACCGGGTCATGATTTCTGGAAAGAGACATTGCTGTTGAGTTTTTTTTATATGTATTTTTTTTTGGCACTTTGAGCTCCACAAACTGAGTGCCATCTAGTTCTGTTATATTCGAGAGAAGGCAGACATCTCTCGAACACTCGGCAACTCACACCAAAATAATCTAGATTGGTAAATAGCACTACAGGTAAGAGGGAAAATATGTTTTTTGATTTTTGGGGTGAACTGTCCCTTTAAATTCAAGTCTTTGGGTATACGTCTGCTTAAATTTGAATGGACAAAGTTGTATCTGACAAACTGGACATATCTGCTATGTTATCTGAACTTGAAAATGTCACCTGATGTGGAGCAGTGTGAGATCTACACAAATAATACCAAACTCTACAATCAGTGTTTTAACAACTTGCGTCAATGCATGTGTGTTTTTCAATATTTCGTCACACAAAAGTGCTGCAATCACGACCACTCTAAAGACAGAGTACAAATCAAGACCAGTGAAGTATGTGTCTAAATATTCAGTGATTGTGCTGCTACTATTTCCAAGGAACAGATAAAAATAACCGAAAATCAAAGAGTGTGTTTTTATTTCTCACCTTGTCGTTCCGCTCACACAGGAATTTGAGTCTCTGGGCTCTCTTGTGCATAAAGACTCCATCCAGATGACCTGTCTCCACAGAGCGGATCTCTATGGCTTTCTCACCCCAGCCCATAATCTGATTAGAGTGGATATAGGCTTTAAAAGAGTAAACACAACACACCATTAGAACAAACATTGGGATTCATTGACACTAGCCTGAACAGTGGCAGTTTTGAAAGTGTAATACCACTGACTGTCACATGAGGGCAGTAAAGTACAGGCAACCAAGTGGTATTTTCTGTTCAAACAACACATGCAACAAACATTTCTTTGTTTGACTTTTGATCTCTTGGTCTTTCTTCCCTGTGTCTTACCTCCTGACTTTCCCCTTTTACATTTACTATTGATTTTCTGTATCTATTTTCCATTCTTCTCAAACTTTTACCCTCGCTCCCCCGTCTGGAAGCCTTCCTGTGAAGGCTGATGTTATAAACTGATCTCTGAATGCAATTAAACCTCAAATGAACCCACATAAGCTTATTTCTCAGAGAGTATTTTTGATCCGCATCGCAACACACACACACACACACACACACAGGCACTGAAATGGGTTCTAGCATACATCACTGTAGTCATTCAAACCTCTTAACTTAAAGTTCGGTTATCTTTAATCGAGAACTTTGAACTGAGAGCTCCTCTGTGATGTTTTAATGACTCCAGTGTTGATAAAAAATAAATAAATTAAAATCAGCTAAACACACATATAAGTATGTGTGTGTGGGGGTGGGACATACCAACGGAGGTAGGCATCTCTCCCCACTGTAGCACCACGTCCTTGGTGATTCGCCCGTAGGTGTTGACGTAGACGCCCTCGTCCTCGTAACAGAGCAGCATCTCCATTCCATCCGTCTTCGGCAGCACCACGATGGCATGGGGCTTCACCTGGCTCTGGATCTATCGCAGATACACACACACGCAAACATTTCAGAGGCTTTAATTAAAAGCTGTCAAATTTAATCATAATCTACAGTAGATTAAAATATTACAGAGGGTTCATCACGGGCATTTAATGCAACAGAATTTGGCCGGTTCTTTGGCAGATTTTTGGATCGGCCCGCGTGCTGTAATCCTCTAAAGAGCAAGTTTGCCAACATTGACAAGGCTGCCAAATACCAGGCATCAAAGGGTTCAGACTTTGGCGTGTTGTCTGAGAAGCCTTGTTCTGTGGAATCATCTAACGGACAAACTATGGCACTTTTATTTGACCTTAATTAACAGGAGCAACATCAGAAGAGTTGGGGGTCAGTAACACACACAGACAGAGCTTGAGTCTTAGCACGTTACCCAAAGTGTAGCCCAGAGAGCGACCGCATTATTTGTGCCAGCAGGCTCTCGTGAGGTGTGACTCTGAGTTACACTTCAGGAGCACAACAACGGATTGCGTCAGTAAAATGAATGAGTGATAAGGTGATGAAGGAACTCATCTTAGCCCACGAGAAACTGCATCTACTGTACTCAAGAGGTGGAGCACATATTGACCACATTAAGGAATCATACTGTGGTGGTGGTGTTGGTGAGAGTCAGGTGCAGTTTTTGGAATATTGTCACCAATCTGACAGCAATGTTCTTCCAATTTAAATTAAGGTAATACTATTTTTAGGCTTTAAAGGGGAGCCACCTAAATTAAAAATTCCGATATGTTATTCCAATGGTCTAGGATAGTTCAATCAATGTTTGTGAACATTAGCTGCTCTCTCACAAACCCAGAAACAGAAGAAGGAAGTTTCAAACTTGTGGTGTCCTAGTGTATAAAGTCGGAGGCTGCTCCATAGTAGGGGTGGGGGAAATTTCCGATTCTTAGATGCATCGCGATTCGGACGTGGACGAATCTGAATCGATTCACAAAAGTCCAAATTTCGATTAATTAGAGTAATACAGAAGGTTCTAAATGATGCGGAACTAAGAAGCGCGGTACGTGTCATCTCCGGGACACTTTGGGATGCGCACCTGGAGCAGACACGCCGACACGCGCACAGAGGAAAACAAACATGGCTGACCGCTACCCACCTCGCCGTGAGAGCTGAACAGCTTCTTCTAATTTAAAAGTAGACGTGTGGAAATACTTCGGCTTCTACAACGTTGACGGCGGAAGCGAACTGGACAAGAGCCACGTTATATGTAAGCTGTGTCGTGCTAAAATAAAATACTTTGGCAACACAACAAACATGAGAAGCCATGTAACTCGATTCCACCTGATGGAGGAGTCAGGGAGATGGCAGGCTGTTGTTGCTGCGGCTACTAGTGGCGCTACCGACCAGAGAACAATCGAGGAAGCAATTAGAAAGCTGCCACCCTCATCGGAAAAGGTGAAGCGAATTATGAAGGCCATCGCGGCATTTATTGCCAAGGATTTGCGTCCTTATTCTGTTGTGGAAAATCAGGGATTTCGAGCACTGCTGCATACACTGGAGCCCAGATACACCATCCCATCCCGACGCTATTTCACCGACACTCTACAACCAAACCAAAACAGAAGTCATGGCCTCACTGTTGAAGGCAGGCAGGTAGGAACGCAGTCACACGTGATGCGTGGACATCTGTCGCCAACGACATACAACGAAGTTGTAACTTTACAGTTTGCAAGCATTTCCATTTATACGTTCAATAAAATATAACGGAAATGAATTCTACTCTTTCTTATTACAAATGCACGGTTTTTAAAAATTGCAAGTGTTGAATGCTTATTCAGTGAGACAAAAAGAAATGTGTGTTGTGAAAAAGTGCATCAATATACATAAATTAAAGATGCATCAATAATCGTTTTATAATCGAATCGTAGCCCCTGAATCGTAATCGTTATCGAATTGTGAGGTGCCCAAAGATTCCCACCCCTACTCCATAGACAGTGTTAGGGACCTGACTTTGTGGACCCACAGGATGTTTGTCTTCTTTTTTTGTCCCCAAATGAGCTTTATATTATTGTTCCGTTCTCAGTTCTGAAACAGAAAATGTCCCCATATCCTCCTGAGACCCTGTGTCCTCATATGGGACATCACATTTTGGGATTACGTGACCTTTTACTCTATTCTATTTAACTTAGACCTGTTGCCCTCATTCATGGACACTTTTTTTGTGCCACCTAGTGGTAGTAAGAGCACAGTACAGTGATCCATGAAACTAGATGGCAGCCATCCTTGCCAAGTCAGTCTGCAGCTGATCCCGACACCAAAGTGGACAAGGTCCAAAACCTGATCACATTTTATGGTTGTAACATGTTTATTTATGATTAATATGATTGACTAATTTTAACACTACTACTAACAGTAGCAAGCTAGAGCACTGCTAATTAGGAAGTACTAATTTAAGGACATTGGGACTTAAATATCGTTGACAATGTTTAGTTTTTTTATACTTATCAGGTCCTACTGATCCAAAATAGCTGAAAGAAATAAAAAATGCATACCAAACCAAAGTTCGGGTCTCAAGAGGATATACTCAGAACATTCTCCTGGCTGCTCATCTTTAACATCTGTCCCAATTCATTGTCTATGGAGCAGCTCCAGACTTCATACCCTACGACAGGGGTGTCAAACATACAGCCCATGGGCCAAAACCGGCCCACCAGAGGGTCCGATTCAGCCCACTGGATGACTTTGCACACCTAATATTGATGCACTTGTGACGTCTAAAATGTGTCAGGTTTCAGGAGCAGGTTAAAAAGTGAGGATCCCCCCCCTTTTCCTTTGTCCCCTTGACTAGAATGCAGCTCTCCGAAAAACAATGAATCCTAATTGTCGCCATATTTAAAGACATTAAACACTATTCAAAATACCGTCTAAGAAACTACCATAAGTTTAGATTTGTAAATGGTTAGTTAGGCAGGGGATGACTTCACGGGGGTCATCACAAACTTGAGTTTTAGCACTCTACCTTTTAGACTTGGGAGAGACTTTTGAACTGTCTTAGACCATTGGAACATGTTTTAATTCTGAAAATGGGTGCAGTTCCCCTTTAATTCTGCCATTTGTGTGTTATGGCTCCAGCATGACCAAACAACTTGCTGCTAGTCGCATAAATCTTTTCATAACCTCATGATGTCTCCTGTGGGTAAGATGAGTTTATTCATGCAACCTGTGTCTAGCGAGAGTGTCCATTAATCTCTACTCTAATGACCGGTACTGCACACAGACACATGTAGTACTTCTGTGCATCCACTATGGGGTTTATACTAAAGATCTATTGGTCTAGTCTAAAGGGTGGATGGCAGGATGTCACCTTCATCTGTTTGGCACACTGGAAGAGAAGTTGGCAGGGAGGGAGGGAGAGAGAGAGAGGAAGCATGGATTAAGGCAAAAATAATAATAAAAATAATAATAAGTCTTGCCGTGCACTCACTGTAAAGCATGGACTCAAGTGACCGCGAGCTACCATCGCGTGTCCTCACATCTGTATTCACTGGTTTATATTTACTGAAATATTGCCACTAAATCAAGAGTTTGGCTGGACTGTGTTTGAACTTGATTTGGGTAAGAGCATGCGATTAGTGAAGCCACAGCGGAACAAACTAATCTGCATGCAAGTACCAAAAACTGATTTGCATTCACGCACATGGTGCACCTAGCTTCCAGACTAGACTTAACTGACTGCATGCTGCCATGGGACAAAACAGGTATGCTAAGAGAATATGCTGACCTCTTGACAACAATCTCTGGGGATGACCTTTGTTGTCGCAGCTAATACTTCAATAACGTCAGTAATTTGAGCTACATTCCAGACAGTCTGAGCCTAACGCACCATATTTAGCAAACTAAAAAAAGTATCTGATAAAAGAGGTAAAGCAGCCATCAATCTTTTATTTGCGTGACAGAAAATCAATCAAAGAGGTAATTTGTCAAGAGAAGTCATTGTAATCGTAGTGGCTAATCCTGGCGAGACAGCACGTGAGTCACCGCTGACCTTGGCGCAGACAGCGATCAGCAGGTAATACAGTAGACACTGAGGAACTGGGTGTGTCGTCCTTCATCCAGACTCATTAGATCAAGAGACAGACGTGTTTATTGAAGATTTACAAAAGATTAACACTCAGATAAACATGAGAAAAGCCCTGCACTTACATGCGAGGGGATGTAGATGTCGTAAGGGTTGCCTGAGTCCACGTCGATGACATGGAAGCCCACGCTGGAGCCGTAGATGACCTTTAGCCTCTGACCTTCTTCCACCGTCAGGTCGACCAGCTGGGGACGGTGCTGCAGCTCAGTGAATGACTAACAGAGCAGGATGGCGAATCAGACAGGAGGAGGAGAGGAAAATAAATGGGGCAGGAAGTGAAGGAGGAAAAAAGATGTTCAGTGATAGAGGATGATGAAACAGGAAACAGTGAGGAGCGTGGAGTCACAAAGACAAAGTCAGAGGGATACATAAATACAATAAATTAATTCTGCATCTATACATGTGCAAAGTGTGTATGTTTGTGTGCATGTACGTGCTTCCGTACCTTAAAGGCCATGAACTTGTGGTAGGGTTTGGGAGCCCAGGCATAGATTTCCACAGAGTTCTTCAGAGCAATCACCAGGAACTTAATCCTCTCGTATTTTACTGGAAACAGGACAAAGATAAGCCTTTAACAACCTGACCCTGCATACAAAATGAACTGGTGTTTTCCACATTTATCGATACATATTGATTCTGAATATTCGAAAGAATTTCAAAACTCATTTTCTGCAGTTTCGATTCACTGGTACCAGCTGCACTTTCTTACTGTCTCTTACTGTTAATCTTTACTGGAGCTATTCTCTTGTTTTCTGCTGCGAAAGAAAAGAAAAGCTGTTGTTGTCATGTTATAGCCTCCAAAAATGTATCTTGTAATTAAAAAATTCCAAATGAAAGTTCACCCAAAAATCTAAATTCACTCAATACCTACTTGCCCCTGTGCTGATGTGAGGATTGGTGAAGATCTCCAGTTCACACTCCTGCAGTTTCAGCAGAAAACCACATCCAGTACAATTGAAATGAATTGTGACCAGTTTTATAGTGTAAAAAAACCCTATAAAATGTCTCCATACTGCTCGTGTGGTGTAATCCAAGTGTCTGTGAGCCACGGCATTCAAATTTGCCCCGAAAACACACCATTTACTAACCTGGAAATCCAGATGCCCCGCCCCTAGCAAATTCGAATTTGCTCTGCACAGAGATCTGGCCCCGACGAGCAGAGCCCGCTGAATCGCAAATCGGACCAATCAGATCAGTCTATCTGACAGAGGTGGGCTCTGGGCGGGCGTAACATGATGACGACAGCGCTGCGCCGTAGGAGTCGAAAAGTAAACAGCCAAGATGACAGCTGCCGAAGGACTGCGTCCATTCAATTTAGCTTTGGCAGAAACGCTAAGCCAACTACACTTATCTTTTTCCTTGAGAGAGGAACAGAAGACTGCCCTAGAAGCCTTCGCTTCCAGGAAGGACGTTTTTGCCGTCTTGCCGACGGGATACGACAAAAGCATAATCTATCAGTTAGTCCCACTGTTCGGCAAACAAATGAGGCTTAGTGCAATGAATACATCACCTTGTTTTTTGCTCTGATTGGCTACCGTGCTATCCAATTGTGTGCAGCGGCATTTGAAATGCCTCAGTTACTGCCGCCCCTTGGGTAGGAAGGGTGTATCGGTGAGGGCCAGACTCAAAATCTTTCTAGATTTGAGTCTGGATTTCCAGACTAACCATTTACGCCATGTTTTAAGCCTAAAGTTAGCTAAAGTTGACATTTAGGCTACAAACATGGTGTAAATGGCGTTATTTCATGTCAAATTTGAATGTTGCGGCTTACAGACACTTGAATTACACTACACAAGCACATTTTAACTACATTTTAAAACTGGTCTCAATTCACTTCAACTGTGCTGGATTTGGCTGCAATGCTGTTTTCCTCTGCAACTCTGGGAGAGTTATGTGAATTGCACATCTTTATCCATCCTCATCCTCAGCACAGGGGTGACTAGATATCGAGTGAATTTTCAATTTTGGGTGAACTATCACTTTAACTTGTGTACCCTCACTGTTGTTTTTTTCCCTGTAGTATGAAAAATGGTATCGAATATTGATATTTTTCAAGGTTTAATTTCAAAGTGACAACACAATAATGTACATTAGATTTTATTTTTTAAGTAGTTATAAGGTGATCCATCTGTCATCTATTGTTTCTAATAATTAGGACCCTGAATGTGATGAGCCATCATCCTCGTCCCTACCCTACTGGTTTAAATCTCCTGCATTTGGTGTGAAGAAAAACATGAAGGGCCCCTGGGTAAGTATTACCACAACGCATTTCTAGTTTAATAAAAATAAGAAGAATAAAAGTCAATATTTTCGGCTGTATAGGAACTTCCCTCAACAGCATTAAGCAAATTTTGGACACCAAACCTGGTAGCAAAAGTAAAATGCAGTTTACTAATTAAAAACTGTTTCCAAGGTCACTTTATTCTGAAGTTATACAGCCTATTGTGTTATATTTTACTATATTTCTTTTGCTTCTTTGTGTCAATACTGTAGCTGCATAGTACATGCCACCTGAATATAAAACATTACTCATTCTCTTTTCTTGTTTAAATCTCCCCAGCTGGTTAAAGACTTAAGAAAACAACCTGCCAGACAAAATCCTGCCGATCTAACTCCATAAAGAACGTTTCAGCTCAGGCATAAACATCAGCCTGTGCACATGTAGTCTGAATAAATGTATTCATTCATAACATGCACACAGATCCTTACCAACTTTATAATGCACACAGCCCTCCAGGTCCCCGACTGTAATCCAGCCCTGCTTCTTCTCAACTTCCGGGTCATTATGTAATATTCTGTTCCTGAGCCAAGACAAGTAGTAGACACGCAACTTGTTCTTTTTCCCTGAGAGGGATGGGACAAAGACAGAAAGAGAAATGAGATCAAATTCACAGGAATTGAGTCCTAAAAAACAAAAATATATAATAGAAACCTATTCGGCTGTAAACAGCACACAATGGCAGATTAGCCTGGATTAACCAAATGTGTGACACGCAACAGTACACATTTCGAATAAAACTAATACTATCAATGTTTTGGTGTTCAACCTACCAGATATGGTGACGAGCACATTGAGCCCCTCCAGCACATCCATCTGCAGGAAGCGTCGTCTGGTGATCAGGTTATAGACTTTTCCCTGTCCACTTCGGTCAAGCAGCATGAGCCCGTTCTCTGTCCCCACCAGCAGGTTCACACCTAAACACACATGCATACACACACAAGAGTCAGAGACACACAAACATACACAAAAGACAGGTGGAGGTATTCAGGACAGATAGGAAGATGAAGGATGTTCCTCCTACCCCAGAGAGCGGCACACAGGATCTCGGAGTTGAAGCGTTTCTTGTATTTGCGGATCTCTGGCGTGTCGCTGTGGGGCCTGATGTTGGTCGGGTTGACGTTGACCACGGAGATCTTTCTGGCTTCGTTTAGTCTGGCCTGCTCCTGCCTCAGCAGCTCATTGGCAAACATGGCTGGGATACAGAAGAAGAAAAGAAAGATGGAGAAACAGAGAAAGATGTAATTCAATTGATCTTTCGACAGCTGTGCAGACAAAAAAAATTGGTTGATGACAATAAAGAGGTTGAATATTTAAAATGTTTTTGTTTACCTGCTGCTGAGTTCTCATCGTCATTTTCACTTGGGGAGGTTTGATAGACACGTGGATCAACAAATGGGGTGAAGGACGCTTTGGATCCGCCCAGGCCAAACTGTAAGACAGAAAACAGTGAGTGATTAATTAACAGCAGCAGCCTACATTAACACGGTACTGTCACCTGTTTTGACAAATAGACAATATGACAATATGAGACACTATGATATGTGGGTAAAAAAGGGGCTTAAAGGAGCAGTGTGTAGGATTTAGTGGCTTTTAGCGGTGAGAACTGCAGATTGTGACCGACTGAAACTTCTCCCACGTGCCAAGCAAACTCCCGGTTAGGATTCATTCATTGTTTGTTGTTCAGGGAGTTTTTACCCCGTGAATTATCTGCAGAGGTCTCTTCCTCTCCAAAACAAATGGACTGACAGGACGCTAGCCAAATACCTGCTAATGAGTAGCCACCTTTTCTCTCTGATAACTTAAGATCCAGACGTTTTGGAAGTTTTTACGGGGAGCCAAATTATCCACAGAGGTCTCATCGTCTCCAGACCTGGTCATTTAAACTGTTAAAAACCCTGAATAAAGCGGTTTCACATTTTAAAAAATTGTGTTTTCCTGACGCTGCCTATTTTGGAGGGATTTCTGACGCAAAAACGTGAAAACCTGCAAAGGCAAATGGCCCTATGTAGAGCCAGTGTTTGATTTGTCCATCCTGGGCTACTGTAGAAACATGGCAGCGCAACATGGTGGACTCCATAGATGAGGCCCGCCCCCTTTGTAGATATACATGGCTCATTCTAAAGCCCAGTTCAGACCAATGATTTGTGACAAGATGCAACCATTTCAGAACGTAGCACCCGTTCATCACTACTGCAAATACAATCGTAGCCAGTATCTCACTATCACTGTCCTCATTCATACTTTAAGAAGCTACAATTATATTCAGCCACAAAATAAGTCTGAAAAGCTTGAAATCAGAACAGAAGTACAGAGAGCTGTTGCATAGCGATGATACACCATCTCATCTAGTTGCATTGGTGTGAACCGGCAGATTTCTAGAACGTTGCAGAATGGTATATTGCAAGTAGTTGCCTGTTTCAACTTGTCTCATTGCAAATCTTTGGTCTGAAATGGGCTGAAGGTAACAAAAACATAACAATTCTTATTTTCAGGTGATTAAACACTAATGAAAACATACTTATTATGTTATATTTCCATCTAATCCTATACACTGGACCTTGAAGTGCTGGATTTGTTCAATGCCAGGCATGAGACCTCATCTTGGAAAAACCATTTATATGAATTTAAAAATTAATTTGTAAAGTTTTAATATTAATTTAAGATTTATTACATTAATTTAACTTTGTGTTTTATTTATAGCACTCTATCCATGAATGAGTGTAAGTGTGTGTGTCTGACCTCTGTCATGTCGCCCAGTTCCTGCAGGGCTGAGGTGGGTGTGGCTGAGGGAGAGTTGCTCTGCTGCACCAGGTCAGGGAGGTTACCATGGTTACCGTGATTCCCGAACCCATTACTCTCAGTGTGGCCACCTCTCCTCCTCTCCTCTGCCTGGGAGACAGAAAGAGAAAGAGAGAAAAGAGTTGAGAAACAAAGGGAGGAGGAAGGAGGAGATGTAATGTTGAGAGGGGGTTTTACAAAAAAAATGAGAGCAGAAGCAGTAAAAGAAGATTAAGTGGTCATGAAGCAACAAAACGAGCCCAGTTTGGTAATAGAAAATAAACAAAAACAGTGTTTTCTCTGCTCATTCTCATTCCCTTCTCTCTGAATCCTTGTGGCTTGTGTGTGTGTGTGTGTGTGTGTGTGTGTTCACAGTCATCACCTCTCTCATCACGAGAGTGCCGTCCTTGGAGCTATTATAGGCATCTCCCAGAGAGTCCTCTGTCAGCCCTCCATACGACTCACTGCTGCTCTGCACTGCTGGCCTGCAACACACACACATGCAAAACACAAAACACACACGCAGACCTGATTATTTACAAAGCAATTCTACCAAAACTGTACTGACAAGCTACTGGCATGGCGCATATTCCAAAAACATGCATGACTCAACACAAATGAATACTGACAATTCCAGCTTGGGAAAACAGAGACAGAGGGGAAAAACAAAAACATAGGGGACAACTTACATGATGCGGGGGATGTCGCTAACAGCAACAGTGCCATCATGCCCCACCGTCTCCCCGTCCTCATCGCTGCTCTCTGAATCTTCACTGGAGGACGAGTAGTCTGTCACCTTTATTAGCACGTGAGAAATAAAGACAAAATTAAGAGGATAAGTCAGAAATCCTCTGAGAGCCAAGACAAAGGACTAAAAGTTTCAAAATCTTGTTCTTGTGTAATGTTTTTATTGTGGAATCACTCAAATGAAAGGAATACCTCATCCATAAAATGATAATCTGTATAGTTATTACTCACTGTGTAAAGAAAACATTCTTCTAGCATGTCTCAACAGTGAACGAAGAATCCAAAAAACGCGAACATGCTTGATGAACTGAAGTCAAAACAGGCTGTGTTTAACAACAGCAAAAGCATATCAAAACTCCCAGGTACAAACTCAATACAATCCAAGTCATCCATTTCACTGAGCAGCACTGCATGAGTTGTGGATGTCTTGATATACATTTGTTTTTCTGTTGTTAAACACGGCCCCCATCTACTTCAACTCATGAAGAATGTTCACCGTTTTTGGATTCTTTGTTCGTAACAGTTTCCTCCACAAATTCAAGGTAAAGGCCTTTGCACACTGACTCTGTTTTTTGGATGGATCTTTTTAATCCGTCACCTGAAAAAGGTCGTTAAGCACAGAACCCTTGCACACTGATTCTGATGCATTCCCTCCTTTGCCTCTCTCCTCTGGAGTTACCTATCTGACCGTCACCACTCCATTGCTGTCTTGCATTTGGCACCGCTCTCTCTGTCTGTGTGCGGTCCACATCCTCTTCCTCTTCATCATCATCCACCTGAATATTACTATCTGACATGTTGAAAGTGAGCTATCTGAGTTATGAAATGATTCTGTGCACCCTGTTCCACTGTCTTGTCGTGGCTGTGTCCCGCCGCCACATCTTCTTCACTGATTCTTGGTCAAACGTTTCTAACGACTCTGACGGAGGCGAAAATGCAGAAGATCGAACCTGTTCTGAAAATCTTAATGACAGACGAAAGTTCCAGACTCAGTGTGCAAACGTGACACAGCGTGAGGTCGTTTTTATTCTTAGACGTGCGACAATTTTGGACGAAAAAAATGGACTGGGGATCAAACCACCCATCTTCCGATTAGTGGAAGACCTGCTCTACCTTCTGAGCCACAGCCACCCTTTTTAACCTGATATGAAGATCTGTCATCTTATCTTTTCCCCTTCTAATGAGAACAACAATAGATGTATGCTGTTGGCCCAGGCTGCAGTGAAAATAAATAATCTATCTACACATCATCACAACATAAATGTTTTTGTACCTTGACTGGAGGTCTGCTGCCCTCCTCTACCCTCAACTCTCTGAGTTCCTTGGCCAAAGCACTTAGGTCCTATAGAGAGGAGCAGAAGAGGAGAGGAGAAAGAGACAAAGTAATTTAGTTCATCACTTCTATATCATCAGTCTCAGAACCTGAAGAGTCAGAAAGCAAATCACATACAAGGACGAGGGGAGCAGAGAGGGGCAAAGACCATCAGCATCATAACAAGAGGACAACTGATTTGTTGTCACACAAACATCCGGGCCCGTAAACATCAGTGACCAGGAACAAGAGTGCTAATCTGAGGTCACTTTTTCTGCTCAGCCACACTAAAGATTTTGTCATGTGACATAAGAGGCAACCACAGATCAGCACTTTTATTCTCTTATGAGCAATATATCAACTACGTGAAGACAGGTCATAAGAAGAGATAGAGACAGAGAGCCAGGCTTGATGTTCTACTGGAGTGCAGTGTCACTCTGCACCCCCCATACCAATCACCCCCATGCCAACTGGCCCCGTGGTTCCTCCCCTCCCTTCCCTCCCCATTCAACCCAGCCAATGGATCAGACCAAAATCATGCAGACGGGTGGGGGAGGACCGTCATACACGGTGGGCTTACCAGCTCCTCCTGACCAGTAACCGTGACAACAGAGAAACAGGAAAAGAGATTCAGAGACTGTTCAGGTGCTTGGCAGTGGAGGTTACACACACACTCGCACTCGCGCGCACACACACACACACACACACACACACACACACACACACACACACACACACAACGCATGCATGCATACACGCAAACTCGCACAAGCACGCGTCCACAAACACTCTCTCAGGTATGTGTGTAGAAGCACACATGCACTGCCATCGCCAGTTCACTCTGAGGAGTCAAAAGTTAAAAGAAAAAAAAAAGTCATCTTCTTGTGAAACTCAACTCCACCATGCCAGGGGAAAAAGAGGGGCTCTGAAGACCGAGGCAAAGGAAAACTGGGATAAAAGAAAGGGGGACTCGAGTGTCACTAACCTCATCTATGGCTTTCTTATAGCTCTGAAGAATGAGAGGACAAAGAGAGGGAGGCAGAGACAGAAAGAAGCAGATGAATAGCAGGAAAAAGGAGAAAAGGCCTGTAGGAGATTCCCAGAGAGGAGATTGCTGTGATAGACAGTGAATGTTTGTGTCTGTGTTGTGTGACTTACTGCAGGTCTGCTGGGTCTGGCTGATTCACGGCCCTCCTCCTGCTTGGGCTTTGCCTCCTGATTGGCTCCTGGAGGGGATCCTTCCTGCTTGGCTTGACCTATCAGAACAAGTAAGGGATAGATACAGTTGGTGTCTAGTCGTAGGGTACAGTGAACATGGGCAGTGCCTGATGTGACGGACTTGCTAGATATTGTTAGCTAGCTTGCTAATAAATACAGCAAAATAGGTTAAGTTCAGTGCCTGTCTCATAATATCTTTTAGTATTGGCTGGTTAAACATGGCAACGATCAATGTCTCCTACACACATACTCCTTTACTATCCTATGCCGGTCAAAGTTCACCAAAGTTGAAGTCTGCGCGATATAAAGATATAAATTTGCTTCGCCACTAGAAGCAAATGTTTTATTGGCCCCTGTGTTTCCATTTAATGGAAGTGACCAGGAGGTGAATATTTACCAGTGTTAATTTCGCTCACATGTGACCATGCCCATAGTAAGGGGGCGTGTCGAGGGCGGAGTCATCTGTAAATGATTTGGGGAAAGACATTCCAGTAAAAATCCACTTCTATGCAGATGACACTGTCATTTACATGCATGCTTCCTCCATAGTGCAGCCAGTGCAAGAGCTTCAGACTGCATTTCAGTCATTACAAACTGCTCTGCTGAGTTTAAAATTGATTTTAAATGCTCAAAAAACAAAGGTAATGGTCTTCTGAAAAGCTCGCTCACAGTTGCTTGATGATTTTAGCGACTTCACTTCTGTAGGCAAATCCGTTGAAAGAGTGTTCTCATACAAGCAGGTGGGTATATGGACAGATGACAAGCTTTCATTTAATGTACATGTTGTTAGTAGTTAGAAAACTTAAAGTGAAGATTTGGCTTGTATTTTAGAAATTAGTCTTTTTTTACTTTCAGTGCTAGAATCAGGAGTCTGGTAGGTATGACAAAAGTATTTTTGGGGCTGTTTCTGATTAAACTAAAAGGATCTTAACTATCTCTGTAGGGCTGGTGTAAAGATGGCCAGAGTGTTTACATCACAACCTAGCTGCTGCCCTCTTGCTCGATACTGGACCAATTAAAATTAAAAAAAGTTGTTCCCATTAGTCATTTAGACATGGGGGAATAAGTACAGATTGAAAATTACGCTTTATCTCTGGATTTTTAAGTTTACCTGATGTAAAGAAAGCCACACAGCAACCCTTCAGCATGGTATTAAATGCTTTGTTTTCTCTTTGGTGTAGACTGTATCTATTACACGTTTGACATACATACCCCAATATGATTATTCAGAATCACTAAAAAATCCGAATTGTCCCATACTGTCGTTACATTGTGAAAAATTGTGCTTGTCTGGGTGAAAGCACGTTGCCATTCATCAAATATCTTGATACTATCTGTCTCATTTTTTACATTTCTGCCATTTTTTTGTTGTTGATCCCATTGCAAAATAACACCCAGCAAACCTGAAGGAAAACCAATCCCACCGCACTTCAACCTCCCTCTCTGCCATGTGTTTGTCAAGGGGAGACCCATGCGTATCTTAGATATCCCTCTGGCCTGTTGTTTGACACTTCCCTGTACGCCTCTCTCTATCTCCCCCTCTCATTTCCTCTCTTCTATCTCTCCGGAGGCTGAGTCTAACAGGGCACATCAGACAGGTTGATCAGAGCAGAACTGCGACTGACATTGTCCTGCTGATAGCCTCTGAAACTCGCTGAAGCCCTGTGAACGTACGTGGATGTTTGTGTGTTTCTGTGGCCGCATTTGCGCGTATACAAGAGCAAGTGCATGTACCGGTTTTTAATTGTTTGCATGCAAGCGTGTCTGTGACTGTGTGTGTGTGTGTGTATGAGTGTGTCTTTGTGGCTTTCAGAGTTTCCGTGGGAGTTTTTTTGTACCTCTCCTCTCGGCTGAGCCTCCCTGAGATGAAGGGGAGGAGGAGGATGACGAGTTGGAGGAAGTTCTCTGCAGCATGGCGTCCAGAGAGAGCTCTGAGCGCCGCAGGTCTGGGTTACTGAAACAGGTGGAAGATATTTTCATTCATTTTAAAGTTCTATAAAATTATACAGCATATCTATATAAAACAGATGTTCGCAGTGTAGCGCTGACATGTTTTTATAAGATAACCTCGGGCAACTCCTGCTGTGTAAAAACAGAGCTGATGCATTATGATGGAGTTTCTGCAATCAATAGCTTCTGTTCAACAATGAAGAATCTGAATCTAATTTAACAGAAGGAAAGGTAAGGTAAGGTAAGGTAAACCAAGGTAGGGTAATGTAAGGTAAGGTAAGGTAAGGTAAGCCAAGGAAGGATAAGGTAAAGTAAAGTAAACTTTAATGTCCCAGAGGGGCAAGTTGAGATACAGACAGTAGTCATGAGTAGTCATAACATCAACAGCAGTCTTTCTAAAAGTATATACAGCAGGACATTGTATGACATAAAATGTGTTTTAAGGTACACAATAACTCTCTGTTGTATGCTTTCACCAACCAATCAAGTTGCAGTTTACATCCATGTCTGTACAGACTCCTATGTCACAGTGATGCTGATCTTTGACCTTTTAGATATAAAATGTCATTGCTTCAACTTTTTATCCTATCAGGCATTTGTGTGAAATTTTGTCTTAATTGACCCTTTGCTAAGTCCCGCCCCCGGATGCAGACTGGCCAATCATAATGCAGCATCAGGCCGGCTCAGACCAGGGTCCGACAACAACACAGCTGTGCTCCATTGACTCTAATGCAGTCGTTTCAGATTTCCTTCATTTTCAGGCTGGTTTTGTGGATTTGGAGCTAAATGTTGTGCCTGGGGCACGTCGTGTATTAATGATACTCGTTACCTGGAGAGGTTGGAAAAAGATATACGTTTCTTCCCTGTTCCAAAACTAAAATCAAACCCTGAAAAGTGTAGGGTTAGCTAGCTAGCTACTGAAGATATAGCCTACTGAATGTATACACATGCTGCTTTTGCTTTTTAATGATTATAACAGTGAAACAAAGACCGACCCTGCTGTACAGGAACCAGTGAAGGGAAGCAGGGAAACTTTGCTGATATTCAACCAGCTCTGTGTCATCGCATTGTGCGCAGATGAATGAGGTCCAGGTGCTGGCAGCAGCACGGAGGCGAAGCCAAACACGGTCATCTGCACACACTGTGATGCCACACAGCTGGTTCAATATCAGCAAAGTTTCCCTTTATATTCATTGTCTTCTGTGGCGATCACCAGTGATGTGGTGGTTCACTTTTACACTGTGATCTGTAGCCTATAGTTTGGCTTTAGCTTCTAACTATCTTTGTCTTTTTAACCTGTTGTTGCTGCTGAGTCAGTTTGACATCCTGGATATATCCTTCAAACACAGACTGTAGACCCCTCTGTCTGCTTCTCTCTGGAATCACTGTTTCATTTCTCCAAAAATATGATAATATTTCTTCAGGGAGTGCAGCTAGTCACAGTGTGCGCTCCATGCTTACTGTGACAGCTTGTCGGACCATCACAAAGGGGCGGGGCTTAGCGAAAGGTCAATTAGCATATGAATTCTTGAGTTATGGCCCAAATTTCTTTTTGTTTGTTTTTTTGGCCTCTGGCCACTAAAATCTAATCAGTTCATTCTTAAGTAGTTTGTACCAAGTTTAAAGACAAGACATTTCCTGCTAGCATTCCTGAGATATCATGTTGTCTACAAGAAGGAAAACAACCCGAAAAACATTTTGCCTCCAGCTGGGGCTATCGCTGGGGTGGCGGCATAACAATGCAAGGAATTCAAAACCAGTAAAGAATAACACAAGGGAATTATCACTGGAGGAAAACCCTCACCAACCAGGCTGCATAAATATGTTCAGACATAGCTTAAAGGATAGTCTAAACTCAACTTCTTTTGCCTGGGGGCCACTTTTGCAAAATGACAGGAGGCCATAACAAAAGTACATAAATGGAACATAATAATGTTTATCAGATAAAATGAAAAAACAAGGCAAATCCAGTCAGAGCAGCCCTATACAGGTCTGGCGAAGGGGCGTTTCTTGGATTTGATCCTTCTCTACTTTGATGCTTATTTATACACTTTGGCATCTTACTAACATTCAAAGTACACAAAAAAATCTGAATGTGAATCAGTTTATTTTCATTATGAGTTACGAAATGGTTGGTGGGCCAGATGGAACCCTGTAAGCTGATCACTGATCTAGACTATAAAGGTGACCTCAGATGTGTAACTTAGACTCCAGAGGTGGACAACGCACTAATATGAGCTTTACCTGGCCCGTATGAGTTGAGAACCTGTGCGAGGGCCCAGACCCACTCCTCCATTGGGGGAGTTCTTCCTCACCAAGGCTGGGGAGATGGAAGTGGTCCTCTGGGGGACCTGGAAACACACACAAGTACAAAAAGACAGTTGATCACCATGACTGGTGCAACTTGGCTTTTACGTCCCTAGCACAGAAAGAAAAGCTTGTATCAAGGATGTTTTTGGTTATGGTATCAATGATAAATCTGTGTTGTGGTTTGGCAACATGCGTACGTTAAACTGGGCAGTGGCGCTCTAATTACTCTTTCATTACTGAGTAATGTTGTTTGGCTTGTCCTGGTGAACTATGCCAATCAAAATGAAGCCAGTGCACTGAGAGTGAGGCACTTCACATCATGTGCTCTGGTATCAAAGTCAACAGTTTAATTCCAGCAGCTCTTTTCAAGTTTTGCAAAAGCTGATTTAACCTTGTTGCTGCGGTTTTGACATCAGTTCAGTTACCTCACTTGACTAGAGAGGGCAACGCTGTGTGCAAAATCACACATCAACCACACTGTCGGCAAATGAAATGAGAAGTCATCAGCGTTGAAATCTGATTTGCATGACGAGGTTTGTTTCACCCAATAGGTAGAACAAATTAAATTCTTACAGTTTATTTTAAAATGTTGAGCACATCCTCAGTGATTACAGGGTGCCCACAGGTATCAGACACTCACATTTAATGCTTTTAAGGATCTTTCCAAGATGATTTTTAACTAAATTTAAGGCAGATTTTTGGACAAGTCAGTCATTCATTTGGTCATTCGAGCATTGCAGGTAAGAATAAAAGTATGCATAAAGGCAAGTAGTATATATGTGGTTGATATCAGGTGGTAGATATCAGTGTGTTATCGTATTAGATTGTTACAATATAAAATCCTGCACCGCTTGCAAATCTCTCCCAGTAAAACACATAAAATGAACCCCCAAGTTTCACCTGTGTCTTAATTGTAAAATCTCAGTAGGAAGTTATACACATTGTGTCTGGCTCTGTCCTAAAATTCAAGCACACTGGGTCGACTTTCTGCAGGATATGGGGAAAATTCTTGGTGTTGCTTTGTGTTTGAATCCTGTCTCTTTACTCCTGGGTCACTAATGTCTAGATGCTATCGTTGGCTGCTCGAGCAGATTGTACGATATTCTTGCATATGCTACCACACCACTTATCACTGTCCTACAATGTAGTCTTGACACCGGTAGCCTATGTTTGGACGATGTGCTATAGCATTATCTCGGAGTTCTTGCAACCTCAATAACTACAGGTCCTTGGAGGCTCAAAACTTTCTTTACCAATGGCCAAACAATCTAATAACATTTGGATAAAGCGGTACATCCTTTTTGTTTAACCAGAAACAGCCCCAAGATCACTGTTGCCAAACCCACCAGACCCCATTTGAAAAAATGGTAATTTTAGAGCATATAGATTCAGCATATTTGCAACAAGATGGTTTTTGTGAGTTTTATTTTGTTTCTGTCGACTCTGAATGAGTTTGTTTTACTATGATACAATTACTGTTTATTTAAATGTTGTCTGGTGGGTTTGACAAGAGCAATTTTGGGGCTGTTTCTGGTTAAACTAAAAGGATCTTTATCTTTAAAAAAAGGTCTATCTCTGTGGGGATCCTTTCCATAATGTTGTCAGACACTTATAATAACAATCATGCCCTGGCAGTGGAAAACCAGGCATTTTTAACAGACATAAATTGATGGTGTAAAGATTCCCAGAGTGTTTACATTGCAGCCTGGCCGCTGCCCTCTTCCTCAATACTGGATCATTTAGAAAAAATGTAGTTTCTAGACCTGTTTGCTTCACTCCACAAAGGGACGATTCATGAAAATATGGACTCCATACCTCCGTTTCTCAACCTATACTGTGGCGTCAACACACCGCACCGATGGGTCGAATTCATATCTAAATGTTTCATCGTTTTTATTCTTGATGGTTGTGCAGGCTGATGTTTTGCTGAGCTGTTCGATGTTGTTTGTAAAAGGAAGAAAAGCCAAAAAAATGTACTTGACAAAAAAGAAATTTGGACTTTCATGCAGAAGAGCTTGACTCAGTTTGACACAAAGAAATTTAAGGATGGATACATGAACTTTGCTAAAATGTTTGTGGCAATTAAGACCTTACAAATTCAAATGTAAGACATTCTGATGACTTTTATGGTCTAATATTTATAAAATAAAGACATTTAAGACTTTTCAAGGACCTGCAGACACCCTGGATTGACAGTCTTCCGTTCTGATAGTGATTCTCCGACCTTGGGTGGGATGTCCTCCTCTCTCAGCCATGCGGTCCTGTCCCGATCCCTCTCTCTGTCCCGATCCCGATCCCGATCCCGATCCCGTTCCTCCCTGCCTGTGATGCGCAGCGGGGCACCGGGGGTGTCAGAAGTGGGGTCAGAGTTCTGGCGGGGCATCTCGGGCCTTGGGGAGCTCACGCTGACGCCCTCGCTGAGAGCTGAGCCCGTCTGGTCCTGCAGAGACTGGGAGCCGGACATGGAGCCGGAGTGAGTCTTCACTGGGACCAGGTGGGCCATCTGTAGGAGGGAGGGAGAGAGAGAGAGAGAGAAGGAGGGAGAGATGAGGGGGACAAGTTGAGTGAACAGGAGGAGGTTGAGAATGGGGGTGTAAAGATGAGCATGAAGAATTGTGGGAAAATACAATGGCAGAAAATGGATGAAAAGAATAGAGATGGATGTGGGAGATGGAGAAACAAAAGACAAAGATTTCTTTATATGGAGTCATGAACTTTTTAAGGAAGTATACAAGGGGTCAAGAGGTTTGTGATTATTTGATACCATCTCCTAGGAAACACACCAAACATTCACATGCCTCCGTTACCGCACACACACACACACCTGTGGTTCGATGGAGCGGTGGATGGGTGGGGTGCGGGCGGGCTGCATGCCCCCGCTGCTGAAGGACTCGGAGCGGGGAGGGAGGGAGGGGTCAGAGATGCGGTTGGACACTTTGTGCTGCAGCGCTGGGGAGCTCTGTCTGTTCAGCTTAGATCGCTCCTCCACCTGGGACAGGTCACATACCACTGTCACTCACAGCCAAGCACGCAGCACAACCAATCACCACGCATGACGTGCTGTAGGTATCATGCACCCCGACAAGCCACCAGACAATCATAACAACAGGCTGTGGGACAGCTGTGTGTTATGTCACATCACGAGCTCTGGACTTGTTTTTACGATTGTGACTCATAACAAAAATTGTTGCACTGAGAAGTTTGGTGGAAGTCTTGCAGTAACCTGTTTATGTCTGGATAATTATGCAGGTGGCGCAAAGCCAGACTTCCACAGAAATGTTTAAAGGAATCTGGCAGTTTGCAGGTGTCATTTTGACAAATGCTCCAACATCTCCTGTCAGATTGCTTCTTTCCCACATTGAATTGTTCTGTTTATCTGTCTTCATGTCCCACGTGCAGTTAGACAGAAAGAATGTCTGATGGCTTTGATTAAAGTTCAAGAATTATCTAACCCATTCTTGAGAACTGGGATAAAATATGTCCTATCAAAAAAACAAAACTTAAAATGATAACTTATCAACACACTCATTTTATTTCTGGAGTGAAACATTATTGTTAAAGGATTTATATGTATGAAATAAATAAGATTTATATAATATTTCGATCTGCTTTCATTTTTAACCCTTGTCCCAGACAAGAATTGACAACTGATTTCTTTTAAAACATGAGTAGAAGGCAATGAGCAATGAAAAAAGAAATGACCCAGAAAAATAAAACGTAAAACAAGTAAAAAGCGAAAATTAAAAAAAATAAAATTAAAAAAGAAAGTTAAAAACAAACAAACAAGGAAATGACCTGGAATAAAGTGCTTATAAAATTATAATAATTTGGTGACATAATTTGAAAAGGTAATACTATAATAAATATATTTTTTCTCTAGCTTTTTTCTTTTTTCCTAGTTTTTTTTTAATAATTACTCATACAAAATACTTATATTTTAATTATCTTAATTATTAAAAAAAAAAAAAACTAGGAAAAAAGAAAAAAAACATTTTACATTTATTATAGTTATTACATTTTAGAATTATGTTACCAAATTATTTTTTATAACTTCTAGGCACTCTTTCCTGGCCATTTCCTTGTTTGTTTGTTTTCAACATTTTTCCTTGTTTATTTCTTTTTTAAAAATCAATTTTCTTGTTTTTAATTTTCTGTTTTTACTAATTGTTTTGATTTTTTTTGGGTTTTCTTCTTGCGTTGCTCATTGCCTTCTTCCCATGTTTTTGAAGAAATACAGCCAATTTGCTGAGGTTTCAAAGGGTTAAGACTAAATAAGAATTATGGCTTAAAAATTAGTATTTTGATTAGCATTAGAGGATGCTTAGAAACTTTGACAAATATAATGGCTTCTCTATATAAATATGTAACTTTTTAGTCAACTCTATAAGACGTAAACTTCGTTAGACATCAGCTCAGCCAAGATTTTGATCTTTAAAAATGTATTTTCTTGTCCTAATCGAAGAATAAAAATCAAAAACCCAAAAAGTAAGGTCTTGTCCCAATTCTCAAGAAAGAGTGATCTCCAATCTTCTTATCTAGACACCGCATTCAAACCCAAAATCCCAGATCTGAGTACATGCAAAGGTAACGGCTGCACACGTTTGATTTTTACACCCATTAGAGATTGACTGACTGCTTCCCACAGACTTGTGGAAGTGCACGTGTGTGTCAGTGCCAACGAGCACCAATGGATATCTGTGAGTGAGGAAGGCAGAGAGCTCCTCTTTGCCAGTGTAATCAGATTATCAGATTATCTGATGTGCAGTGAGAGAAGGCTCAGAGGAATGCTCCCAGCTGCCCAAATCACACTTTTCCACTCTAAACAATCTACTCAACGGTTGGTGGAGGGTTGAGTCATGGCTCAGCAGGGCATAGTGTCAATTGCCCCCCAGGTAAACATGCGTGTGCAATGAGAACTATCCCCTTTGGAGGCTTTCTGTAATTCCACATGAGCTCATAATCTCGTAGGATTATTCAAGATTATAACCTGGGTCAGAACAACTATGCAATACTGTGTCATTCCTCAAATCTTTGTTAGTTGCCTGCTAGGGGGGATAACTACTGTGAGGCAACTATGGCGGCAGAAAACTTCTCAAACACTTGGTTAGTTGTTCACTTGGGATGAAAGGCGACTACTGATGAAGGAAAGAATTGTAGACAAACAGTGGCTAAGTACAAAGAACAAATGGAAGAGAAGTATTCGGTGATTCAATAGAGGCACTGCTGTGATCCAAGTTTAATCTGTGGAGGCAGTATGCGATCAAAGTTAGCATAAACATCAACTGACCTTCGAGAGATAGAGAAATTACTGTTAGAAGGTGCACTTACAGAGGAAAAAACCTTTTGGGTAGTGCTGCTTAAAGGGAAAGTTCAGCCACCCCAAATCATAATACATATTTTTCCTCTTATCTGTAGAGCTATTTATCAATCTAGATTGATTTGGTTTAAGTTGCCGAGTGGTGGAGATATCGGCCGTTCTCTAGATGGCACTCGGCTTGTGGGGCTCAATTGCCAAAAAAGTACATTTGAAAAACTCAACAGCAATGTGTCTTTCCAGAAATCATGACCTGGTTACTCTGGACAATCCACAGACGTTGTTGTGAGCAGTTTCATGTAGGAACTATTTTCTTTCTACTGAACTACACCTGCTAAACACATCACTGTGCAAAATAAAGTGTGTATCTACCGCTAGCTCACTTAGCACCACTGAGCTAGCTAACTTTAGCTGAGGAAGATGACATGGTTAACACTGTGTGCTGTCATGAGCATAAGCTTTTTGTCCATGAGTAGATGCACTCGTCCTTCTGCGCAGTGATGCGGGAAGCAGGTGTAGTTCAGTCAAAAGAAAATCGTTCCTATATGAAACTGCTCAGCAGAGGAGGATGTCGTAAATGTTTACATCATGACCTTGTGAGCAGTTTCATGTAGGAACTATTTTCTTTCTACGATACGACACCCGCTAACAGTATCACCATGCAGACGGAAGCATGCATCTACTCATGGACAATGCTTGTGACAGAGCGAGATGTTAACATTGATGGCGTCCTCTTCGACTGAGCTGTAACGTTAGCTAGCTCAGTGGGGCTAGGTGAGCTAGCAGTAGATACTTCCTTCTGTGTGGTGATACAGTTGGTGGGTGTAGTTTGGTAGAAAGAAAATACTTCCTACATGAAACTGCTCACAACAAGGTCTGTAGATTATCTTGAGTAACCGGGTCATGGTTTCTGTAAAGAGACATTGCTGTTGAGTTTTTCAAAAGTATTTTTTTGGCACTTTGAGCACCACAAGCCGAGTGCCATCTAGTTCCATTATATTCAAGAGAAGGCAGACTTTTCTATGGCTGATATCTCCAACGCTCGGCAACGCACCAAAATAATTTAGATTGATAAATAGCACTACAGGTAAGAGGAAGAATACGTATGTTTGATTTTGGGGTAAACTGTCTCTTTAAATCTTCATTCTTCATGCATCAAGTGTTTGGGTTTATCCCCAGCCTACCACCCAAAAGCTCTTTCTACCATGTCAGAGGTGCTAAATGGTTAAAACAGATCATCAGAGGAAGTTAATTGTGGCCATGACTGTAGGTTCTGTTATCTCAGACATGTTAGGATATTACATACCTTGACATGTTTTGGTCATGTGACAGTCATGCCTCCTTAGTGTTGGCTGATTGACAGATCAGCTGCGTCACAACCACCACCAAGTGACACTTCTGAGGAAGGCGGAAGTTTCCTTCGAAACATGTCAAGGTATGTAATAGCCTAACATGTCTGAGATAAAAGAACTTACAGTCATTATCATGAACACCATTGAACTATTAATTGTGGCCAGTGCAGCATCTACATCTATAAAAGGACACAGAAAAAGATTAGGGAGGAGAGCAGATGAAGGACAGAGGTCATCCTCCTGAGGATCCACGTTTGTTAGAAGGATCCCACCACCACCACCATGTGGCCACCACCCATCACCAAGTCAGGATTTGATTGACTGGTTGACTGACCGAAGAAGAAGTTGACACAGGTGGGTTTCCCCGATGACATCAACATCAATACGGCTAGGAGCAGGTTTGTGATGGTGCTTTTTGGGGCACTGGGTGATAAGGGTGACAAGGTGGCGAGCAGGCTGGGGGGGTGAGGGATCGGGGCTGGGCTGTGGTTAACTGGGCTACCTATGGATCAGGATGGTACTAGAAACTGTCCCTGAATATTGGAACGTCTTCTCCGGATCTCAGTCCCAGCGGAGAATATTTTTAATACTAAAAAAAATCAAACCGTAACCAACATAAAGATTAATGATAAAAAAACAAATACTCCTTGTAGAGATAAATGTAGATATATGTAGATAAATGTAGATTACTTAATGTCTGATAATATACGTTAATATACATGTGTGCTCTTGTACTTCTATCTTTGTGAGGACTCATTTTTTGGAAATCTAGCTTGATCGGCATCCGTTTGAACCTCAGATTTTAGGGAATTGTACTGACGTTGCTCCCTTAGTAGAGCAATGTGAAAGCACCTCTCTTTTATGAACTTTGCACAGACACAAGTCAGTAAAGTCAAGGTCAGCCATTTTAGGGGACCTTAACAGAAGAAAAACACATTTTTGACTTGAGGGGGCTTTAAAGATTAGATCTAGAATAATTTGATTGTGATCTTCCCTTTTGTTAATTAAAGTTAATTTTGAGTTCACCATATATCAAGCAGAGACAAAAGAAGTGTGTGCACCAACCCCTTAATGTGACATTACCCAGTAACAAAGGCAATGCAAGGTAAAACAATTAGATAAGGGCTGGAGTACTGCATGTAGGCGTTAAAGTCAGGATTTGGGGCTTTGAAATGCATTATTTCAGTCACAAATATAGAAGTACAAAAATGTGTGAGTGTGTGTAACTATACATGTGTGCTTTGGACAAGGGTCTAGCACTGAACAGATCTGACGCAGATCTGGGTCTGAGATCCGAAGGGAGAGGCATACGGGGAGCAGTGAGGGGTAGAGCCAGGTGAGATGAGGGGATAGGAGGCCTGGTTGGGCAGGAGGAGGTTGTCATGGAAAGGTGAAGGAGAAAATTTGTGGGGCGTGTTGGACACAAACGTGTCAGGAGAGAATACAGGGGAAAAGGTACCGGCAGACCACGAGCCTGAGGAGGAGGGGGACATTTGCGGAGAGGTGCGAGGAGAAAGGCTCAACCAAGAACATGAAGATGTACTGCTTGAAGAGATGGAGGGCAAATGTTCAGAGGAGCAACTACTCATTAGTCTGACCTCAGACAGTTTGTGTCTGAGTACGTCTGCCGGGGCAGAAGCACTAAGGTCACACATTGAGGAGCTTCCTCCTATATTCTCCTTCCTAATCCCTTCTCTTCTGCCCCTAAGAAAGTGACTGTGATCAGGGACTTGAAGAAAACTGCCACTGTGGGAGGCAGGTGAGTAGGAGCCCCTTTGTCTAGGCAGCGCGGAGTGAAGAGTATGGTCAGGGAAGGATTGAGAGAGGGGGTCATGTGAGTCAAATGCTGAGACCTGCCAGTCCGAGGGCACCAGAAGGTTCTCACCACTGACAGCTGGCCCCCTCTCTTTCCACCCGCTCTGATACTCTGGCTCTATATCTACATCTACTCTACAGCGAGGTGAGTGCGATCTGGCACGAGGGTGGCCACCAGAACGGTTTGGGATAGGTAACTGGGAGCTCCTTTGTCCACATAGGGTGGAGTGGAGAGCATGGTTAGGGAAGGATTGAGAGAGGGGGTCAGTTGGGTCAAATGCTGTGACCTCCCAGTCCGAGGGCACTGCAATGCAGTCGTGGCTGACAGCTGGCCTCATCTCTTTCCTCTGCCCTCCCTGATACTGCTGTTCTATATCTACATCTCCTCTACTGTGAGGTGACTGCGACCTGCCGCGACAATGGCCACTAACCAGTTTCACTGCAGGGATGGGAGCAAGGTTAGATCCAGACTGGGGTCTCTGGACCTGTCCTGGGGACTGAGGATGAGGTTGGAGGGCTTTAAGCTGTTGGTCCGGACACATTAGCCCCTGGATGGCTGCCTGACTCGGAGCAGAGAGAGGCCTTTCTCTTGGCTTCTCTTTCTGATTGTTAGCCACCACAGGATAAGGGATTGGTGCAATAGGCTGGCTGACTGGCCCTTGACTGGGATGCTCTTTTTGACTCTTACTAGGTCCTTTGGGCCCTTGGCCGTGCTCCTGGATGGGCCCTGGGCTGCGGCCCCTCTGACTGAGTTTCTGAGCCCTGAACTCTCTGACCTGCTGACTTATCTCTTGTTTCAGCCCTGGATCTAGGGGTTCTCCGGGATCTAGTGAGATTCGGATATGGGGGAGGTGGGTGGAGAGGAGCTGGGCACCATGGGATGGGGTTCGTCTAGGGGCCTGAGCTCTGTGTTGGCCATGAGAGCCAGGGGATGAAGCCGGTTGGTTGAATGACTGATGATGTCGTAGTTGGGAGCGGGGCGAGTTACCCTGAACATGCTGCTGCTTCAGGACCTGGGAGTCAGAGTCAGAGGAAGGTAAGCAACAAAACAAACACACACAAAGGAGACACCACACTGTGATAATCGAAACAGCAGCATTAATCCTTAAATAGCTTCACATTCAAAAAGTGAGGTCTCCCACAGGACGGCTGCTTTTAGTATGACCTGCTGAATAAAATATTAACAATACAAGAAGGCCACTGGGTGTGTTTAATGTACAATAGGGGATGAATTCCAAATCAGGATCACCACCAAAACACACACATACATTTAGTGCACTACTTTCCTCAGAGCTGCTACTTTTCCTCACTCGTAACATAACTCGTCACATATTCGTAACTTCATGCATGCCTTTGCTTATCATGCATGTTGTGACTTACCTCCTTGGCCCAGGCAGGTTTGTCATTAGGATTGATGATATCTTTGTAGTGGTAAAGCTGTTTCTTCTCTGCTTGCCTCCCCTCCTGCTGCTGCTGCTGCTGCTGCTGCTGCTGCTGTTGCTGCTGCTGCTGCTGCTGCTGCTGTTGTAGAGACACCAGGTAGGCTCTCTCCTGCTGGAGCTGCCTCTGGAGCCGCTCCGCCTGCCGCTGCTCCTCTACCTGCTTACGCTTGTACTCCTGGAGGGAGAGAGGGAGAGGGGGTATAGGAGGGAGGACAGAGATGAGAGGCAGGAAAGGAAAGCGGACAGAAAAGAGGGCAGATACAGGAGGAAAGAGAGGAGGGAAGTTTAAGTTTAGAAGATAGCAAGAAACACAGAGATCAACACCAACTCAGGTGAGTAATTAATGCACGATTTGCAAAACATCAGTGATCTGTGGTGGGAAAATTAGTATTTGCAAAAGATTCATAGCATTATTAGAACTTTAGTTCACTGCCTTAGGATACTCTGAATGGTTATCCTCAATGGAATCCTCAAATTTGCACTGAGTAACTGTCATTGTTCCATTTTGTGTGTATTTGAAATTACTTAGCCTACTTCTAAGTATCAAGCCATGCATTGACAAATACTGTGATTACACCTCATAATAACCATCATTAATAAATGGTAAATTCATAGTTTATCAAACTTTATTTAATAGTTATTTTACTGTAAACAAACAATGACACGATAGCTAATAATCATTACAAATTATTGTCATTTACTAACCTTTAAACGTGTAGTGTTGCACGCAGTTTAACATTTTTGGCATTTTTTGAGGTCACAGTGACCTTGACCTTTGACCGCCAAAATCAGTTCATTGCTGACTCCAAGTGGATATCTGTGCCAAATTTGAAGAAACTCCCTCAAGTCCTTCCATCATGAGGGTGAGATGGATGCAAGGTCACAGTGACCTTGACTTTCGACCACCAAAGTCAATCGTTCGTGCCAAATTTGAGGACATTCCCTCAAGCCCTTCTTGAGATATCACGTTCACGGGAATGAGAAGAACACAATATCACAGTGACCAAAAATCTAAATCTAATCAGTTCATCGTTCAGTCCAAGTGGATGTTTGGGCCTAATTTGAAGATATTCCCTCAAGATGTCCTTGAGATATCACTATCACGAGAACAGGATGGCCAATCCGTAAACATGGTGCCTCCAGCCACAGCTATTGCTAGCATTTCATTGTTTGTTTACAGCAAAATAACTATTAAGGTTTAATTAACTATCAATTTAGCATTTATTAATGATGGTTATTATAAGGGGTTACCAGCAACGCAAAACAGATAAACACAAATATGGACGACTGGAATCATCTATATGGAGTATGGACTTGACACACACTTTTCCCAATTATAATCGCAATTTTCAGGCCAATGATGGACAAAGGGGACTGGGAACATAACACTGAAGCATCTCTTATCAGACAGGGGAGATGAAGGTGGGCACTCAGAGGCAAGGAGGGATGGAGGAAGGAAGGATGGCGGTAAGGGGGGAAAGGGAAGACATCACTTCTCAGGCCGCAACACATCTCTGGGTTTTGGTGTGTGAAGTAATTGCTGTGGCCTCTGGAGTTTTCCTGGCTTGGATCTCAAAAGGTTTTCTTTCATGCTCTCTTTAAATATACTTCCCTTCCAATAGGATGCAAGGAGCAGTGGACAAATACTACAAGACATACTGTGGATTCCTGGCAGTAATAAAACACAAAACTGTTGCCCTAGATAAGACTGGGGCACTGAGAGAAACCCTCTGTGGGAAATAACAATGTCCTATTTTCTCTTGGATGTTCTCACTTTGTGTGGGCCAACATGATTGGGGCTGACAAAACTGTTTTTCTGCACCCTCTGGGGAATCCTTTGAGATCCAGCCAGCTAAATGGTACGCTTCATGCAATCAGTGAGATGAATAAATTCAACACAAGCGCTACAGATAAGCAATTTATTGTTTCTGCTTCATGTTTTGCCTCAAATGTGCAGCTAACAGGTTGAGTGACTCAGACTGTGGATCCCCTCACAACTCCTGTACAACTGCCACTCGGGTGCATGCAGGGGGGATAGGGGGCCACACAGCACAGATGGGGAGCAGTAGTAGCACGTGGGAGGGCTGTCGTTACCAGCAGTAATGCCTGTTCCTGTAGTAGCTGCTGCTGGAGAATCTCTAACTGCCTCTGTTCCTCCTCCAGCTGTCTACGGATATACTCCTGAGCAGCGTGTCGGCACAAAGAGACAGAAATAGAATCAGGAAATCTGAACATCCGAACACAGACAGAGTGAGAAAGGCTGAGACAGAAAGAGATACAGAGAAGATAATCTCCTGAGGTGGCTGTGAATGAGGAGAGAAGATGAGAATCAGAAGGCAGATGAAGCTGAGGAGGCGGTGTTCTCGAACAATTGTAATGTGTTACAAAGGAAATATGACAAAGAGACAGGGGAAAAAAAGGAAGTTCGAATATATCTTTCCAAAACACTTGAAAAGTGTGGGAGGGGAGCAGCAGAGCGATAAAGAGGGACCAGGACAGACAAAAAATACACACATAGAACAGCAGTAGGTTCAACGAGAGGACGAGAGAGAGGATTGTTGAAAGAAGGCAGGAAAGATGCCGAACAATCAAAATATATACATCAGCACAATCAAAGGTAGAAAAAGAACCAGTGTGAGAAACATACAGGTCCCATTACGACATCTATAAATTTAGATCTCTAAGGCAACAACAGATTCCAGTCTGACAAATTTCACAACCCAGGAACCTTTTTATAGTTCTAACAACTGTCGTTTTTATTGTGTACGTACGGCAAGATCTAGAAACAATCATAGTTCTTAAAAGCAATGTTTTGAGGGAGTACTACTTCAGACTACATACTGTCCCTGCACAAGAAGAACCTTGAGTGACTCAAGTGTACATTGATTGGTCGAACACATGAGCCAGTGGGTTGTTGCTACATGGAAACCCTAGATTTGTGAAACTGTGTGGTTAAGGTCTGATTAGGTTTAGCCAAAAATGTAACTTAGGGTTTGGGAAGGATCATGATTTAGGTTAAAATGATCACTTGAAACGCAAACTGTCAAAATAACCTGTGAACTTCGATGAATTAATCACAGAAAAATAACGTGTTCCACGGTGCCCTTTCACCCAGTGTGTCACTGAAGGCCACAGTGGCTTTGTCACATGATGGAGGCAGACGAGATGACGCCGCTTGGCCCCATGAATGGAACATCTATATTTTAAAAAATGCCCAGAAAGGGATGATAGGACTGTTTGATAGGAGTAAGACATTTTCGTACCATCAAAGTACTTAAAACCCGAAATATCACCTCAATGCAAAGCATTTAGCAGCGAACCCGAACTCCGAGCTAGCACAGCCTCTGATGCTAGCACTAGTAGCCAGCTTCGTCAAGCCACACTCGACCAGGCGCTCATATGCAAACTGAGAAAGTCCACCTGTGACTGACTGGCTAACTCCCTTGCTAAGTGGACTGCAACGGACTGCAAGCCAGTTTCGATGGTAGAGGACAGGGGGACAACGGTTTCCAAAATCCAGCAGCTTTACTACAACACATCCTCCAAAATTCATTTGAATTGAGATTTCTTGAAATACTTTCACTACAAAAGCTGATGTGTGCAATTAATTTAGATTATTAATCGCAGAGCATGTAATTAATTAGACTTTTTTTGTTGCTAGACAGCCCTACTTGAACATATTACAAAAATCTCCCAGGAGGTTTTGCGAATCTGGGTTTACTATCAAGACACTGGCAACCGCTATCTTTAAAACTTGTTAGCTGTGTAAACAACAGACAAAAAAAAAACAACTTATTACATAAAACAGGAAATCAAACCCAATTTTGGACTCCTCAAAGCGAAATATAACCAATCTCTAACTGGGCATAATGTTAACAAGGGAGAGCATCAGATTGTTTCAGTGCTTCCCAGTGAAGATGTCCTAACCTGCTCTTAGCATCAGCAAGCCGGCTGAGCAAACTTGCGTCCTTGTAAAACCTCCACTGGCTCTATTTCGGCAAAGATTTGTGCATCTCCAACCTATTTTTAGAGCAACATCCAGGCATTGTTTAAGCTTGCTCAGGGCTCGATAGGATCCCTGATGCTCCCTCGTTGTATGTTAGTTACATCACTATGGCATTCCTCGTGGTGCAAATGCAAACAGAAGCCCTTGAAGGTATGTAGTTTTCAGGAGAGCTCCCCAGTAGGCAGTTCCTGTCCATCCCCAGAACTGTTTGGTCCGAAACCGCCTAGAAACATACTGGGACCCTTACTCAGTCTTTACTTCTTAAAAAGAACCCAAGCTTTAATTCATGAAAAATATTGAATACTGGGGTGCACATGAAATTTGGGGTTTGGGGTGCTACCCCAGGAAATTTTATTTGTCTTTTCTGCATTGCCTTATGGTGGAACATTTGTTTTAGGGGGGACAAATGCACATGTTGTAATTATTGAGGGGTCCACTGCATCCCTGCCGAAATCTACGCCTATGCGCCAGACCTTTCAGCACTATCATACCGACTGGAACTCCTGTATTGTGGCAGACCAGCCATTAGTTAGTGCCTTATAATATTGGCAGGTAATATTGCCCAGGGCATGACTTGAAGTTTTCATCCTCGGGGAACTGTCAGCACTAAAGGGCAATAACAACTTTTCTGAAACTAATAATCTCATATTACCCAGTCCTTTTATTTGCTTTCAGCCAACCAATCAAGAAAAAAAACATCAGTTTGTTTTAATGCGATTTGATGTAGACCCAAATATGGCTAACAAAGGATGGACTTAATCAGAGAGAGAAAGGAAAGTATTGTTTTTGCATGAAAGATCCAGGAGCTGAGAAGCACAGAAAAACAAAGCATGGTGCCGAGATATCACCGGATTAAAAACGTCCAAGTTCTGTGTGTCTGAAACTGAAATCCTGAGAAAAAAAAAACATGAGGAAAATACGCCATTGATGTAATTTAAGGAGACAAGCAGGATCAGAGTGACTCAGGAAGACAGAGGAAGATGTTGCCATAAAAAGAAACACTAAGTTTAAGGGCAGATGAGGGAGTCTGGACTCGAGTTGTCCTCATGTTACATTTCTGTGGCACCATACTGTCTGTCTACATACAGTACGTGTGTTTTAATATAGTATTACAGTAAGCATATGAACCTGTTCTCTCTCTGCATGCCTCCTCTCCTCCTCTCTGCGGAGCTGCTCCATTTCCTCGTAGCGCCTCCTCTGTTCCCTCTCATGCTGTTTCCTCAGCTCGCGCTCTCGCTGCTGCTGCTGTCAGGAGAACACAAGCACGAGAAGATTCAGGATCACAACACCATGTTTTCACACAAATTAAGAAACTGCGTCTCAGTAGAGATTCTCACACACATGCTGAATCTTTGATATGTGAACTCATTTGATCATCTTTCTTTTTGTTTTTGAATTTCGTTCCTTCCACAGTGTGTCTCGGCTCCTTCTATGAATAATGGAGGGAACTGTTATTGTACATTCAAACAGGATACAAACTCGCTCTACGCTACGTTTGCTCAAACACACATGTAGAGCCACAGACACACACTTGGCCCTGAGTGGAAGGGTCATGTTAGTTGAGTCGAGTCATGGTGCTTAGCCGTTCATCGGGACGCTAACCCTGGTGGGAACCCAGAGAGAGCGCGCAGATTATAGGCTAAGGATTTTCTTCTATAAGCCTGCTCTCTGGAACTAAGAGAGGGACACTGGGGAAAGGCTGCGGGTGTGTGTGTGTGTCTGTCTCTGAACCACTCTCCGTCTCTACTGAAGCCTTAACCAAAGGGTGAATGGAAGGTTTTGTAAGTTTAACTGCAAGAATGGAGTGTAAAGTGTAAAGAAGAGAGTATGGAGAGCCAAGAAGAGGGCTTCCGCTGGCTCCTGGTGTTTGGGCTATCTGTGTTGTATACTCATGTATGTTCTTCATATTAGATGCTGTAGAAAACTGCATTTCATGGCCGACAAAAACAAATGTGCTACAAAGGCTCAAAAACATTTAAATTAGGAGAACCAAGCTGCAGCTTCAGAAACAATGCCAATTCAAAAAACCCATACAAAAAAATGGCGGCACAGTGGTGCAGTAGTTAGCATTGTTGCCTCACAGCATGAACCCTGAGTGGGGCATTAGAACCCCGGGTTGGGGATGCCCTTCTGTGAGGAGTTTGCATGTTCTCCCTGTGTCAGCGTGGGTTTTCTCCTGGTGCTCCGGCTTCCTCCCACAGTCCAAAGACATGCAGGTTAACTGGTGACTCTAAATTGCCCATTGGTGTGAATGTGAATGTGAATGGCTGTCTGTCTCTATAGCCCCTTTTACACTGCCAGATTTTCGGTGAATGTTGGGCCATTTGCCGGCAAGCTGCGAGCGTTTAGACACACAGAGCCGGATTGGCGAGTTGATCCGAGGTGCCCAATTTTCCGCCTCGTAGGGTAGACATATTGGCGGAACCCTTTTAGTTTAAAAAGACCGAGGCGGCCTTCTGCAACGGGAGGGGCTGTTGATGATGCCGGACGTGCGAGCCACTGGTGGTGGATAAACAGGAAGCAGCTGATAGCAGGAATTAGCGAGCAGCTGGTAGCAAGAGGGTAACGCAAACCTGACAGAGACTGTAAAGATGAGCAACTGGGGAGACAAGGAATTGCGCGCCTTCCTTGTCCTCGAAACAAAGAGGCCATTAACCGTCAGATGACGTGGACGGTGAACGAGCCGACTTACGAGAGAATCGCCGAAGGACTGACTAGCGGCGACTTCCCTCGGAGCACGTCACTGTTTACGGCACACGCTGAGCTACATGTTTTGTTACTTGCTCACGCCCCCCATTGCCCCGAAAAAGGCGCATTTTGTATGAACAAAAGTAGGTAGGCGGCATTTTGCTGCACTCCCCGATTTTGTTTTTACACTGCCAATGCTGAAAAAAGACTGATTGGGCTTTCCTGCAAATTTGCGCAATCCCTGTCTAAAAAGGGCAGTACGTTTCTCCTAATTGAAATGTTTTGGATCGTTGTGACTCGTTCACCCTTGTCATCCACAGTACAAAGGTCATGGATAATGTCCCTTCCTTCACCTCCTCCAGCCGCCTCCTCTGCTCCTTCTGCTCCTCGATGCGTTTCTGTCTCTCAGCCAACAGTAAGCGCTTGTGCTCTTCGTTCTGCTGCTGCTCCAGCTGCTGCCGCCGCTGTGCTTCCGAACGCTCCTTATTGGCCAGCTGGAGGCGCAGGAAGTCCCGCCTCAGGGTCGACTCTCCGGGGATGTTGATGATGGAGCTGCGTGGGGGATTGGTGAGAAGGCAGGATGGTTTTAAATTAGTGAAGAGATGTCAAATGTGATTTGGGAAGAAAAGGTTGTGTTTGTACTGACCTTGGTTCACCCATGTCTCTTTCTTCATCCTCCTCTTCGCTGCCACTGTACTCATATTCTGTCTCATCTGATGGAAAGAGAAAAAAATAAAAGAATAAAAACCATAGAAAAGAATAAAACTTAAGCATGCAAGGTAATAACCAGCAGAGAGCAAAGCCATTCCACTTAACGTTTTTCATTTTTCACTTGAACTACCTTTGTTCATTGCTAAACTGCTCACGATTCTAGCATTCCCAGATTCTCACTCCTTCAAGGCATCTTCTTTTAGACGCTTTGAATAACAGTATAAATTGTAATTTTACTGTGTGTAGCGAGGTGGAGAACATTAGCTCGGAGCTCTTTCATTCAAACAGGGTTTAAAGCATAACGGTTGTAGAGGAGGCCCGGCTCTTCCTGAGACACATCCACACAGACCTGTCCTCCGAATGTGACAAAGTGACAGCTGGAGAAAGCCACAGTCTCTACAATGAAGAGACATTTCTATACATCATCACGACGTCCGCCCTGCAGTACGTTGTTTCTTGAAGCGGTTAATGTGGTTCTCACTGACGCAGTCCTGTGTGCGAATGTCAGTCCATCACTCAGACTGGGTATGTTTGTGTGTTGTGGTGGAGTGGAGTCTGTCACTTTTATTTCCTGCCGCCCTGTGACAGCACGCGTGTGTGAGAATTCGTCTGTGTGTCTGAAAGTGTATTGCATCCACCCCTGCAACCTTGCAGACTTTTTTTTTCTGAGTACAATGAGTGCGTATCTATGTGTGTATTTGTGTGAGTGTGACAGCACTTCCGAAATCAAACCCTGTTTCTGATACTATTTATGGTTTTCAGTAATGGCCATTCAGTGTAGGGCTGAGGTGAGAAAATCAAATGCCACAATATTTTTAACCAATTACCTCATTATCGATATTGTGATGATAGCGTAGAGCCTTGTACTGTACGGAAAAAAGGTTTGATGTTTTATGGTGGGCGGAGCTTAGCTGGAGGCAAAACAATCCTCCACAGACATTAGTTAGCGCTGGCTAGCAAGTTCTGCTGGCTTGTTTTAGACAATGGAGGAAGATGATACAAGTGGTGCATTCAGAAATACTCATTCTGAGTGTCGGAGTGCACTCTGGCAAAAACTGGGCTGTTCGGTTATCCAGTGCACTGCACTTTTGGCACTCTGTCTGGGGAGACGGAGCAGCAGAGCACCAAGCAGAGTGAATGTGTGATTAACTTAACCGTTCGTTCATACCTGTAGAAATATATAACTCCGTTTCTTGGACCAACAGGGCTCTCATTTTAGTGTAGAGTGTCAGACTGAATTTACGAATGCACCATGTCAGGTCACTCACTGTCCAGGACCGCGAGTGTTACTTGAATAAGACTGTCCGACCCGTATGCTCTCACTCAGTGGATGGATGATGTCACAGGAAGCTTTGTGGTTGATTACTATGTCAATGTTACAAAGGAGGACATCACTTGAACAGTTTCCTCCAGTTTGTTTTGCTATCGAAGCTAGCGTTAGCTAATGCGCTAAAAAGTTAGCATTAGAGAGAAATCCAATATTCCTCTTAATACCTCCCCAATGTCTGATGAGGTGGACATGATAACCCTTAATGCACATAACGTTATTCATCCCTACAACAGGAAATACTTCTTCCCTAACCTGATATGAAGTGTGCGCTGCACATGTGAGCGTTTTTGATAATCATCTCCGTCCAGTTCTTTCGTCTTATCGCATTTAACCATAGTTGTCTTTGTTTTTGTTGACCGGCACTGGCGGCTGGTTTGCAATTACATTTAAGTTTTGAGCCATGATTCCTTCTATTCTGGCTCCCAATAACACAACAAGACGATATTTTAAGACTCCTATGTAGCCCACAGCCCTGTGGTGGAGAGTCGCGTTGCCTTCAGCTAATGAAATGTCGTCATTGTGATGTCGGCACTAAAAGGGTCTATAGGGTTGGCTAGTGATGCTTCTGATAAATAATCATCAGTACTGTGGGTATAATGACTATGTATGTAAAGACAAAAACTAGAGCAGCTAGAATCACTTTATAGTAATGCAGCCTTTAAAACCAGGAATGGAGAACACTTTTGATATTACGATATCCAAAATCTAATATTTGTTCTCATATCATGATATTTATATAATATTGATCCATTGTCCAGCCTTAATTCAACTTATTTAGATTCTGTAATTACCTGTCTATATATTAGTTTTTTTATTAGAGGCGGAGTCCCCCACTCACATGTGGGATTCAAACTGCCTTCACGGTTACAATGAATTCACTAGAAAGGAATTCATGAATTAATGAATGTATGCAATTCAGCATTAACATTTTAATTCTATCTCAATCATATCAGCATGTACTTACTCACCTACAGCCATATCAAAGCTATATTAAAGTTCTAGTGTGGAGGATTTAGTGGCATGTAGCGTTGAGGTCGCAGAACGGAAACTTTTCCTGTGTGCCAAGAGTATAGGACTGTGATACTCTACTTAGAGTATAGCCCATGGGCCAAATCTGGCCTGTGATAAGTAGCCAGGTGGCCCACAAAACCATTTTATAATTCATGAAGAACGTAAATTGATTCACTTTGGGATTCTTCTAGTACTTCCATTGTAAATAAGGTACAAGAGCACACAGAAAAGACACCCAGACAGAGTCCTCAAATCCTAGAAATACCCCTGCATACATCTGACCTATATGGTTGCTGCAACTGGCCCCTAGCCTCTTGTCAATTTGCCAAAGTTTCCCCATGGAAAGCAATTGAGTATCCCTGGTGCCTATCTACAATGGAAGGATCAATTTGTTCAATGGAACAATACAAAAAACTACAATGGTTGACGTGAAAATGCAGATGGCCCTATGTAGAGCCAGTGTTTGGTTTCCGTAGAGCAACATGGAGGACACGCTCCATATGTATGTGTCCATAGTGATGAACATTATACAATTTCTTCCAATAGATACACCTAAATCCTTCACTGGACCTTTAAACGTCACAAACACATGTATTTGTCATTTATGTTAAGCTTGACAATAATTTTGTTCCAATTTTAGTGTTACATAATCCAAAGAAACGTTTTGAGTAAGAACCACCATGAATCATTTTTGTGATATACAGTTTTATCATTGCAGAGGAAATTCTCCTTTAATGTCAGCTAACTCCTGCCAGCTGCCATCTATCAAGCGGAACTACTTAATAAATCAGTCGCCCCACCTCCTCCGCCATGTGTGTGTAAATCTACATGTCCATCTGCGTTTCAATCCATACCGACACGCCTACATCCCACGTGTTGTTTCCTCACCTCTCTCTCCCCTCTTCTTCTTTGTGCGGTCGATGTGGTCCTTCAGCTGGATACGGATCTGCCTCTCGTTGGGCAGGTCCCTGATGAACGGGTGTTTGAGGAGCTGCTCCGTGCTGGGTCTCTGGCTGTGGCTCTTCACCAGACAGCTCTCTATGAACGACTGGAACTTCTTTGACCTGAAACCACAAACACACACACACCAAAGAAGCAAATGAAAAACCTAGCTGTAATCAAGTGCACGTCTGAGCTGATTATCCTGCCTTTGATAGTAAGAAAGACACACACTCACCACTTCTTTGACTTGAGTCTGGGTGCAGGGTTGCGCGGGATGAGGAAGAGGGCTCTCATTGGGTGCATGTCACACAGCGCTAAAGAGTCAGACATCAAGAACCAAACATGGGTGAGTCAGGGTAAATGGGCCTCATTCACTAATGTCTTCCTAGGGTTTTTAAGTTTGTTCTTGAGAAAGAAAACAGAATTTAAAAGAGAAGCCGAGAGAATTAAAGTCAAGAATGTCCAAATTAAAGTCTATAGAGGGAGGAGCACCAGACTCCACATGACTTATTTATTCAACACATAAAAAACACAATGCTATGACCTATTTAGTGAACACTGTATCCAGAGAGAGCACATGACTGATGAGGAAAATAAAATGATTCAATCTTAAATCTGAGGCCAAAACATATTGCCAGAAATATAATTTACACCCATGTCTGTGAAAACATGGACACACATCTTTCCCTCAGCAGCACAGAAGATCAGCACAGTGTCAAGGTGGACACCAAAGATAAGCGTCACCAATTCAGTATCTGACCAAATGTCTTCCTGTCTGTTTCTGAGTTATGGCGTTTAATAATGGCCAGAAAAGTGTCACTATGATGTCACGTTGAAGCTGACCTTTGACCTTTTGTATGTAAACTGTCATCACATAATTTCATCCTCTTAGACATTTGTGTGAAATTTTGGCATAATTAGGGTACAAATTCTTGAGCTATGGCCAAAAACATGTTTTCTGAGGTCACAGTGACATTGACCTTTGACCACCAAAATCTAATCAGTGTCTAATCAGTTTGACCTTTTGGATAGAAACTGTCACATTGTCCTCATTTTATTCTGTTAGACATTTGTGTGAAAGTTGTTATAAACAGTGTATGAATTCTTGAGTTATGGCCGAAAACATGTTTTGTGAGGTCACAGTGACCTTGACCTTCAGCCACCAAATTCTTATCAGTTCATTCTTGAGTCCAAGTGAACAGTTGAATGAAATTAATTAATTAAATTAAAGAAACTGGGCGTTCTTGAGATGTTGCGTTCACAAGCATGAGACAGATGCAGGGTCACAGTGACCTTGGCCTTTGACCCATAACCACCAAAATCTAGTTAGTTCATTCTTGAGTTCAAGTGGACGTTTGAACGAAATTAATTAATTAAATTAAGGAAACTGGGCATTCTTGAGATGTTGCGCTCACAAGAATGAGACAGATGCAGGGTCACAGTGACCTTGACCTTTGATCCATAACCACCAATATCTAGTTATTACATTCTTGAGTCCAAGTGGACGTTTGAACAAAATTAATTAATTAAATTAAGGAAACTGGGCATTCTTAAGATGTTGCGTTCACAAGCATGAGAAAGATGCACGGTTGCAGTGACCTTGACCTTTGACCCATAACCACCAAAATCTAGTTAGTTCATTCTTGAGTTCAAGTGGACGTTCGTGCCAAATTCGGAGAAATTTTTCCCTCAAGGTTTTCTTTACATATTGTGTCACAAGAATGTGAAAGACAGATGGACGGTCAGACAACCCGAGAACACACTGCCTTTGGCCACATCTATCCCCAGAGCAGAGACATGGACATATAATAAATGACTACTGACTACTATATGATTCAACTGGAGAATTCAAGAAAGTGCAATAACTGTTATTCTGAACAAACATTTTAGAAATCAAATGTGCGTATATGTGCTTTGCGTAGCTTTTGTTCTTACCTGAAAACAAATCCCCAAAAAGAAAATAGAATGTTCATATTTGAGTGTTTTATGAACAAACTTCTTCTCAAGAACAGTTGGTGAATGAGGCCCAGTGTTTCTAACTAATTGTGCAGAACATTATCGTGGCACATAGTCAAAGCCAGCTGGAGCTAGTCCTCCCCTGATCAATATACACTGTCGATACTGATAACAATCTATTAGATCTACACACACACATACAGGTAGATCTTGTCTTCTTGTACAACACCTACGTCTGTTATCCATCTCACAAAGTGGCATTTGTACATGTACTACTAATGTAATTGGTTATTTAGGATCTTTAATATTCAAACTTCACAAAGTCAGAGACCAGAATAAAACATGTGACTAACAACTGTCGTCATTACTAGCATCTTCTTTAATGTGATTACTTTGTCTTTACTAAGGCAACATTTATAGTAGGACTGAACAATTTATAAAGATAACATTAAAATGATTATGGTGTGATCTTTACGAGGATCTGTGCCAACACAGATGTCTTCCTTAGTCTGCAGAATATGATGTGTAGGTCAGGACATCTCTGCAGCACGATATTACTTCATTTAAAATGGTATTTTGACACACATTTCGCCTCCAACAAATATCGAGCCTCCTGCAATTTGAAAACTGCAATAAGCCATATTGTGATTTTAATAAAATCTTGATTAATTATTCAGCCCTAATCCATGTATGCGCAACACCCAAATTACACAGTGAAATATTTTCATCCAGTTAGAGATCTTCTTCCAAACTACAGCAGTGACTGACACTAGACTAGAGCTGAACAACCTTGACAAGACTAAATGATGTCCTTCATGATTACTGCCAATTACCGACCGCAGCTCGGGCAGACTTTCACCACAAGTTTCTTTTTTACTGAGCCAAAATCATAATCATCATAATGACTGTGAGTAACCTCGATAGGACTTAAGTAATAAATGGAAAGGATTGAAAAAAGCAGAAGTAATTTGACAACCAATTTTATATCCGCTCCTCGGCCTTCATTAAAATTATGGCTCTGGATGAGTCGCGCTGATCTGGACTGAAAAAAACGACCCTTGATTACAGTGATCTACTGTAGAAGCACTAAGAAATGATGTGTAGCAGAGGTGTGTGTGTTATTGACTGGGTACGTACGTGGCGCTCCTTCCGCCATCTCTATTGCTGTGATTCCCAGCGACCATAAATCACTCTGTAACGACAGAGACACGGCGGATTAACACTCAAGGTGATCAGAAAAAGCACAGACATCTCGAGTGGACGGGAGGTTGTTGAGGCACCTTGAAGTCGTACGTGGCGTCAGGGTTCTCGTCACAGGCGATAACCTCTGGCGCCATCCAATATGGCGTCCCGATAAACGTGTTCCTCCGTCCTACCGTTCTGTCCAGCTGGGCTGAAACACCAAAGTCCACTGCAGGGCAAATACACACACACACACACGCACAAACACAATACATCAGGGTACAGTCTGCAGTTTACTTAAATCTTTGTTTTTCACTCTGTGTGTGTGTGTGTGTGTGTGTGTGTGTGTGTGTGTGTGTGTGGGCCGACACCAGTGGGCTTTACTAAATTCCATAATGGACTCTAAGCAGGAACGAATTGCCCAACCTGCAGTAGCTTGCCCAATTTACAAACACACACACACACACACACACACACACACACACACTTTATAATCCCCTCCCCACTGGGCTTTAGGGGGAGAGCAAGCAGGAGAGAAAGAGAGTCCCTTCTTCAGCAGTCTGCACCATGAACAGTGGCAGAGCTACAGAGAGATGAGTAGGCTGGTATTCAGCATAAAAGAAGAAAGAAAAGCCTCACACACACACACACACACACACACACACAAACACACACACACCTCTGAGCCATCTGAAACGTTATACCTCCTCCTGCCCTCCCAATCCTAAAGCCATTTTGTCAAGTGGGGTTGGGTGACAGACTGACCTAGTTTGACCTCTGCGTTCTCAGTCAGCAGGACATTCTGTCCCTTGATGTCTCTGTGGATGACCTTGTGCTGATGGAGATGAGTCAGACCCTGCAGACAGCGACAGAGACACACAGTGAAGGAACGCCGCTGCAGCAATGAGCCAAGTCATGATTATTATTATTATTATTGTTTTCAAGTATGTATAAAGAGCTAATTTCCAAAAGGAAGCAGCTGTAGTTGCTACTGTGCAGCTGACCTTGACCTCTGACCTCCCTGTGCATAAAAAAGACTCAGGGAAAAATACTTTTTGCAAGTCTTATGAGTAGATTGTCTGAGAGGTCGATGTAGAAACAAAGTACACTGCCTACAATTCATTATTTCGAGCAAAGCCTGTCTGTACAGGAGGATTAAAATTAAAAGAAAAATGTGATATTAGGGATGTCACCTCTCATCAATCAAAAAGAATGTGGAAAATAAATGTATGCCATGGTCTTTCTCACTAGCATAATTACATTTTTGGTACTTGAAATCCAAGCAAAATACAATTAGCCTCATGTATTTATGCTTTGAAAGTTTATTAAATCTTATTCAAAGGAACACTCTCATTCCCAAATAACCATGTGTATATCAATTAATCGCCCTGTGTTACGTTAACTTAATGGAAACATTTTTGTTTGTCGCGTATGCTTCCACGGTGAACGAAGAATCCAAAAACGGAAAAAAAAATCTCAGGGTCCGCAGGAAAACTATATCAAAACATCCATTTACAAACTCTCACACAACTTGTGCAGTATAATCCAAGTCTCATATATCAAGCTGTATGCTGAGTACATCCCAAACAGATAGCCCTTCCCCAGAGCAAACTGGACTGAACCTCAAAGCCAAACTCAGATCAGTTGGTTTGTTTGTGTTACTATGTGTGTTTTCCTGTGTTCAGTGAGGTACGTATATTCACTGTTTTTTGTCAATGGAGTCTGGCTTTGAAGAGACCACAGATATGTCTCACTTTGAATTCAACAACCAGACTGAGACCTTCTTGAAGAGTTGGTCTCTGTCTGGTTACAAACGAACTCTGGTGCAGTTCGTTTGTGGTGAGAACATGTTCCGACCTCGATCCGAACCAACTGCAGTCACATGACATATTGTTTGGGTTAAACATGTTACAGTCCTGGAGGATTATTAATGTGCACCTCCTCCTGTACTGCCTTAATATGCACATTCAGCACATCCAATGCATCAAAACATTGTTTTCTAGTTGGAGCCGCGCCTCGTTTTCAAACTGTATGGTTTGACTAAAATGAACAATTACAGCAATATAGTCCACGATGAGCAGCGCTAAAATCGCCCTGCATAGTTGTCCCTCCATTGTGACATTAGAGTGTCACATTTATCTTGCAAGTGTACTCTTCTTCAACGTTTGCTTTACTTCCTGGATTTTTCCCACATGGAAATTCTGACCAATCAAGAGCAGCTATCTCACGCAAGGCATTTGATCTGGTCCGCTTGTAAATGCTGCCGTGAGAACATGAACTAACTCTAGGTAATTATACAATTTTGTAATAAAATTCAGACCAAAGCAAGATGACTCTAGGTCACAAATGGTCATTTGATGAGTAAAGTGAAATCTCTTGTATTGACTTTAAAGCGATTGAACTTAAGTAAAAGACAAAAAAAGAGAGAGAAAATCAGGAACCTAAAAATGTGAAAAGGGACAAAGGGAAGACAGGAAACAGAAAAGGACAAGATAAAAAAAAACTCTGTTTAAGAAAGACAAAGATGAAGAAGACAGAGACAAAATGTGAGGGGACAGACGCGCACAGGAAGAAACAAGACCAAATCACAGCAGGACGAGAGGAAGCAGAGAGCACGAAATAAGATGAGAGATGAGGGGTGAAAAAGAAATAAAAGTGGATGAAAGGAAATCATTGTTGCCTCAGTTCAGAGTAGCTCTGTGTATAACTGACTCTGTTTGAGGCTATAGCCCTCAGCACCGAAAAAAACCTTGCACAATAACAGATAGTGGAGATAAGCTGTGGGGGTATGACTGCGATTTCCCATGAAGATTCACTTCATTGTTCTATATCTCTCCCACACACAGATATAATGGAACACAAACAACTGGTGATCGCTATCAAGGAATGGGCCAACTGGAAAACACAGATGACTTCTGAGTACAGTCAGGAGAAGCTATATAACATTAAATTGGAGTTAAACGAAGGCCAAATCTGTTGCCTCATCATGTTCAATATATATGTTCCCATTCTTTATCTGTTATTTGTATTTCTAACTCTCCTTTTTCTTCATGACATTTGTTTTTGTAGAATGTCTAATCATTCTTGAGGAGCATCGACTGAGAAACAACAACTGACTCCTGTGAAGAGCAATTTTAGATCATCACACAGCTGTTTTTGTTCTCACAGCTCCCAAAATATCATTCGCACATTCAGAAAGAAAGCATCATCAAGGACCTCTCTCTGTGTCTTCGTACAGTAAATGCTTACTCACAGAGGACGGGCGGAGGATTGAAACAATGACTCAACATCGTGGACACTCACCCTGAGAATCTCTCGGCAGATGTAAGCGGTCCACTCCTCTTTCAGAGAGTTGCCCTTGGTGTTCTTGATCAAATCTGTCACCGAGCCGGCTCCGCAGAACTCCATGACCAGCTAGAAGATATAAAAGGTTGGTTATTTGACTGTTCGGGAAAAGGAGGCAACTTGGTCCAGGATCTGTTTCAAACAAGACAGTACCTTCCATAAAGTAGCCGAACTTGTTGAGATAACCAGAAAGGTAGTTAACAATCTTATGTATGTATTCATGTATGCACAGTGCTTTGTGGGAATCTTTTCCATAAACATTTGTTCTTAGTCAAATAATCAAATTACTACAACCCAACAGATACATCGACAGACAGATACCATGTGCCAATATCAGGTTATCAGAGATATATAAGTTCTGGTGTGTATTTTTGTAAGAATCACCAGAGGATCCACGATACGATATCATCACGATACTTGAGTCACGATACAATATTATCGTGATTTCAAATATGTTGCGATATGCTGAGTATTGTAATAAAACATATTGTGATATAATGGAATTCATTACGTTTTTTTCAGCTGTCAATTATGCCCCCAAAGAAAAACTTTGTCAGCATCAGTTTTATCAATAGTTTTCAGTCTGTTCATCTAATTTCAGACAGTCTTCTGCAGCAGCAAAATGTATCTATTAATTTATTCAAGTAGGCTACCTAAACACACTAGCACTTGCACACTAGCTCGACCGGTCTCTGTACTCTGTTCTGTGTACTTGTATTGTATATGTCTTGAATGATCCGTGTACTTGTATTGTGTATGTTCTGTTTCTTTTCTTTTTTCTTTTCTTCTATTTTACCTGATGTAATATCAACCTGCCAAGGGACTACAGATGGAAACTAGCCTACGGCTATAATCTGGCATATTTACATATATATGTTCATTAAAGGTAGGATCTGGAGAATTTTCAAACAAAACAAAATATAGACATATACAAATGAAATCCTGCTTAATCATCACCTATGGGCTTCTACTCATGTGTGGTGGTGACTCTGTTTGCAGAGCTCCTGCCCTTTAACTGTATTTTGATGTTTTTGTGAGCTCGGACCGCTTCTGGGCGGAGATTTCCCCAGCCAATGAGAGAGAGCAGGTGCCATGTCCAAGCGTGTCCAAGTGTGCACCAGCGCGAGCCTTGCCTGAACCTCTTCCGTGAAGCCTTCTTCCGTACCTCCGGGCTCTGTACACCCGGAAGAGTTGAGCCTGATAGGAGGGGCCGAATTTGAATGTGTGTTTACAAACAGCAACTGGAAAATCCTCCAGACCCTACCTTTAATATGCACTGTCCTTTTTTAAATAAATAAATTGAAATTGAAATTGAAAGTTTAATTTGTATTTATAACATTAACAATTTAAATAATAATAAAAAACGACACTTGGCGCTGTGTGACGACAATATTGGCACGCAAAAACATCGCAATACTATGCTATATCGTTTTATTCCCCCACCCCAGTAGATATGCATTTTTTTTTAAATGTACAAAGTAATTTTGAGTAATTTGCTTAATTTTTTTCTTGATTGAAGTTTGATATATTTTTGTGTTTTTATCATTTTATTGTTTAAACCTCCACAAACGTTACAGCTCCAAACTTCCTAATTCTTACATCTACCATTACTGTCATCTTTAAGGGCAGGGCTGGATTATGAATCAATCATATTACTGAGTAACTGATTAATTGTTTGGTCCATAAAAATATGAATTACAGTGAAAAATTAATTAATCAACTAATCAATGCATCTGAAAACAACCGTCACTGTTCAACTGTAAAATACTTAAACAGTGTAGGGCCGCAACTGAAGATTATTTTCATCAATTAATCTTTCAGTTTTTCTCCTTATTAATTGTTTATCCTATGAAATGTTAAAAAAAATGAAAAAAATGCTCATTAAAATTTCCCAGAACTCAAAGTGACGTATTGAAAAGGCTTCTTTTGTCCAACCAACAGTCCACAGACTCCTTATTTACTATCATACATGACAAAGAAAAGCAGCAAATTCTTACATTTAAAAAGCTGGCACCAGTACGTGCTTGACATTTTTGGTTGAAAAATAACTAAAGCCATTAATCAACTATCAAAATATTTAGCAATTAATTTTCTTTTGATTGAATTGAATCGATTAATTGGCTAATTATTACAGCTCAATAACCGAGACATATCTTTATAACAAAAAACATTCTCTGATATCATTATCTCCACCAGTGAAAGCCTGGAGTGGATTATGTATCTGGTCCTGTGTGTGAGCAAGTGTATATGTGTTTGAGTGTGTGTCTGTCTCTATCTGTCTGCAGCTAATCTCAAGTACTGATGGACCAATAAGCCTCACATTTTGAGTGCACATTTGTGATTGTATCCTCAAGGACCTCTCGTGGTTGCAGTGATTCATAATTGCTACAAAACCTGTTTCATTTACTGTTTTATATTGTCAAGTGATGCACCTAGCACACACTGGACATGTTATACTACAGCTCGTCAACAGTTATTACTACTTTTACTCAAAAATCTGTACTTCCTCCACCTCAATAGCTTAAAATCATCACCCACTAATTAACCTTGATTTCTCACCCGAAGAGCCCATCTCCAGAACTATGACTCACTAGGCAATATCTTTTCGGCCGTTGTCTCAATAATGACGGGATTGTGGGTCATTTAGCTCGGGATATTTCTCAACCTCGACAACGAGTCTCTCCATCTATTCTTCGTCACACTTGAGACACAGCAAAAGCAACAGAGCTCTCTTTATGCATCAATGGTGAGGAGAGGAGTCGAGCTGCTACAGGAGCAGAGAAACAGAGCTGCTACGGAGGCTAGTATGTACAAACAGAGAGTAAGTCAGGGGGCAGTGAGGCTGGAAATAGGACAGTGGCGTGAAGTGCCGCAGGGTAGCGTGTCCAGGAGCACCGACGTGTGTCTAGCCACCACCAGTGTGGGGTTGTACGTTGAAAATAATGGGGGTGTATTTTTGACCAGTGTGTTTTGGCCTTAAGGAAGGCGGAAGTGACAATTCCACCGACTGCAGCTCTCCAGTTCAGTTATGACCCGGTTTTGTCCGTCCATCGCATGGCGTCTAACAGGTGCGTTTCAGAAAAGGGGCATTTTGCCTCCCAAATTTTGTAGAGTTTGTTGATTTGGTCATTTGTTCTTGATATTCGTGCTCCTACCATAAGTGAGTAAGCAGGCTAAACAGTCAAATAGTTTCTTTTTGGTCTATTTATAGTGTTTATAGTTGTTATTTCCTACTTTGCTGTGCTGCAGCCTACAGACAAAGTTAATAACTTTCGAAGTCCAGTTATGCAGCCAGCCAGGGTGGCTGCTTAGCTGCCTGGCGGATATCTGCACTCTACTGGGTGCACTGTTCCAGTTGGATTTATATGATTCCTGATACTGATATTGCTTTCCGCCTCTAATCCAGTATCAGTCAGGCTCCTATCATGTTTCTTGGATGTATTCATTTTTATGGGCCGCTACTGCACAGAATAAAAAGTGCTTTCTTCAACATGCTGCACATTATAAAGAAAATACACAGAAGCCATAATCACATTACTGTAATAGCATTACTAATACACAGAGCAATGCACATAAACAACATGAACACACAGCCGTGTTACAGACTCTCTTTCACTCCGCAGAGACCACAGAAGCTTCTGCATATACTGACTCAACGGGGTCACGGCGAGATCACATGAATGAATGGCGCCCATCTCTTGACCCAAACACAATGTGTCCATTCTGTCCACCCCGTCTCCATCCTTAGCTGCCTCATGCCTTCATCCGTCCTCTCCTCTCCTTATTCACCCACCCCGGCGCTACATCCGATGAGATTTGCGGGCAAAATTTCAGCCGGTCACTTCTGGCCCCGCTTCAAGCTTCTCTCATCATCACTCTGGATTACAGTGAGAGAGGAAGTTGGCGAGCCCTCTCATCCAGGCTGCGCACGTGTACTCAGACACGCAAAGACAAAAGGAACACACTCATATGCATAAACATAAGGAGACACATGTCAAAGCACACAGACATGCACTCACTAACACACATCCACGCACACACAGAGGGAAAACAGGCAGCTGTCGAGTCAGGAGGAATTATGCAGGCAATAGATCTGGCTGCTGTGTGCATATGCATGTTTGTGCGTGCGTGTGTGCGTGTGTGTCCTCGCCATTGTTGCTTGATGAATGCTACAGGATCAGAGAAGAGAGAGCTCCCTTAGTTCGCGTTAACACATGATTTATTGCAGCATCCACCCAGCTACACAATAATTCCTATCCTTTATATCTTTCACACACACACACTTAAAGTGTGTATACATATTCCAGTGCACACAAACCTGCAGTCGCTGCGTGCATGAGCAAACGACACACACTTCTTTCACATACAGTAAATGTAACAGTGAAAAATGGAAAGTCCCGTCTTCTTGTTCTGCTCTGTGGCGCTCTAAGAGACCACAGCCATCTTCATTCACACGGATGCATAGAGTTGCAAAAGTGCAGACAGAAACATGTACAAACACACACACACACACACACACACACACACACACACACACACATATAATGGCGTACCCATAGCTGGTCGTCTATGCCAGGGGGGTTTTTCTTGATGAAAGCTCCGTAGTAGGTGGCGATGTTCCGATGGTGACTGTACTTCTTCAGCATGTTGATTTCTGCTTTGATCTCCTCTTCCTCATCCTGGCACACACAAGGGGAGAAATACAGTATCAACAACCGTGACCTCTATGTTTGACCCCTTAAACATGACTGTATGTTATACTCAACTGAACATTTGTATATCAGTTATTTGCCCAATGTTATGATGCTGGATTTGTGGAGAAAACTCTGTTTTTCTTGCATGCCTCCAAACTGAAAACATTCTTGATGAATCAAAGTCATAGGGGTCCACGTTCAACAACAACAAAGCTATATAAAAACATCTGTTTACAGACTCTCGCACGACTCCTGCAGTGTAATCCAAGTCTCATTCATCCAGTCATATGCTCAGTGCCTCCCAAACAGACAGCCCTTTCTGATGGGAAACTGAGGGTAAAGTAAAACCTATCTACACTCTCTTCAAAGCCAGACTCCACTGATAAAAACAGTAATTTTACCTTGCTAAAAACAGGAGCTGCTGCTCTACTGCTGCCTCCATCACTTAGCTAATTTGTGTTATAATGTGTATTTGGTGAATCCAAACTAACCCTTTCAAACATCAAAGTAAAACAATAACACAAACTAAGTAACTGAGTCTGGCTTTGCAGAGAGCATAGATATGTTTTAGTTAAGTTCCCTTTTTGAAAGGTGTCTGTTTGGGAAGTTCAGAGCATAAGACTGGATAAATGAGACCAGGATTATACTGCACAACTTGAATGGGAGCTTGTAAACAGATGTTTTGAAAGAGTTTTTCTGTTGTTAAATGTGGACCCTGATTACTTCAATTCATCAAGAATTTTCGGTAACACTTTACTTGAAGGTATCTACATAGGAGTGACATGACACTGTCATAACTATGACATGACACTGTCATGAACTTGTCATGAACATTATGTACATGTCACAAACGTTTATGACTGCTGTCATTAAGCGTCATTCGGATTTTGTCATGACAAGTTGACATTGTTTGGGTTGTCTTGATTATGACAACTTGACATTAACAAGAAATGCACCTCTTTTTGTGTTTATGACAAGTTGACATAATGATTATTATTGTTATGACAAAGTCATTACCAATTTTCTGGTAATGTCATCCTGGTTAATGTCAAGTTGTCATTATAAGGACATCCCAAACAAATGTAATGTCAACTTGTCATGACAAAAACCGAATGACACTTAATGACAGCAGTCATAAACGTTTATGACATGTACATAATGTTCATGACAAGTTCATGACCGTGTCATGTCATAGTTATGACAGTATCATGTCACCCTTATGTAGATACCTTCAAGTAAAGTGTTACCAAATTTTTTCTCATTTTGGATTATTCGTTCACCATGGAGACATGTGAGAAAAACAAAGTTTCCTCCATTAATTTAACATAACACGGGGTGATTTATTGATACACTAATGGTTACTAAGGGAATGGAGTATTCCTTTAAAATCTGAAACCCAAGTTATGAATGAACTTTATTTATATAGCACCTTTCATGCACAGAATGCAGCACAAAGTGCAAACCATACATTAATACAACACTTGTTCAAGGAGAAATGAGAAGAATAAATACATTAATCAATTAATACTTAATCAAGTGATATATTAAGAATATTAAAACAGATAGATGCAAGTTATAGGCTTTATTAAAAACATATGTTCTGAGTCGTCGTTTAAAACTGTCCACTGAGCCACCAAGTCTAAAACTTAAGGGCAGGGTGTCCCATATTTGTTGGGTGTTGTAGCTCAAAGAAGCGTCCCCAAATGTTTTGTAGTGACATTAGGAACATTAAAAGAGCAGCTGAGGAGGATCTCAGGGTTTGTGGGGGGACATAAGGTGATAGGGAATCAATTATATCGGAGAGGCGGTGTCGTTAAGAGCCTTAAAAACCAATTCTAAATGATACTGGGAGCCAGTGTAGGTTACGTAAAACAGGAGTTAGATGGGCTCTCTTTTTAGTTTCTGCCAGACTGGAAACAACAGCATGAACAAGCTTCTCAGCATCTCGCTGGCTCAGTAGAGGTCATACCTCAGCTGTATTGCTTAAATGATAACATGCAGTTTTTGTAAATGAATTAAAATGAGCTGTAAAACTGAGATCAGAATCTGAAATGACACCGACGGCTCGTGTTTGTGTGGCCAGATGTTAATAAGATGGTGATACAGCAACAGGAATAAAGTTGTTGATGGATTTGCAGACTGGATCCATTTTAATTCGGGGGAAAAAACAAAACAAACTGTTGTTGCAAAGCACACAGCTGGGCGCTAAATTATCCACGATAGCATTACTTTTTAATTAGTTTCGTTTTAGGGGGTAACTGCCACAAAGCCAAAAGCTGAAGCAAGTTGTTGTCGTGGCAGTTGGTTACTTAAAAATCTAATTCCTTATTCATTATGCACAACGTCAGAAAATTATGCCTTGATTACTTCGATTTAGTGTTCATCAGCTGTAAAAACAAAAACACTTGTTTTAGTAAGTTGATTTTGTACAGTAGCTCATTAAGTTAGAGATGTTGTTTGTTTAATTTTCAATCATCAATTAATTCAGTCCTTTATTTTATTGTATTTAAGCAGATTATTCACAGAAAGTCATTAATACTGTTTAGTTTATTTGTTTATCTATCCTTTGCTCATTCATTCCCATACACCTGCACATATTCACATCCTTATTCAGTCATTCATGCTCTTTTTCATTCATCAGTTCCTTTGTTGCCTCATTCCTGCAGTGCTTTATTGTTTCGCTGGCAGCCGAGCGCTGACAGCGAGGCGTAGGGTGAGAGGATCTCTAAATATAACTGAGATTCCCTCCTGCTTTACAGACACGCCTGAGACCACACTGCTGTCCTAATACCTCCAGCTAATATTACCATGGCAATAGGCCTGTCCTCATTTCCTCTCTGCCACATCACACGCACATGTGCACGCATGTACATACACACACACACACACACACCGGCACTGACTCATCGCTCATAATTAGATGACACGGTCGACGGCGGTATAATCACTTGAGATGATTTGCCGTGCGTGGGGATGTGCATGTGAGCGCGTGCAGCCAGTGCGTGCACGTAGGTGTGTGTCTTACCCCGGTGACATCCATGACCTTGATGGCTGCCAGCTGCCCCGTCTTAACATGGCGACCCTGGTGAAAGCAGGAGAGGAGAGGGACGGTTGGAGATGCAGGGAGACAAGAAAAGATGGAGGAAAGAGGAGGGAAAGGGAAAAGAAAGAAGAAAAGAAACATGTTAACATCCACTTAACGGTTTTACAGAGAAACAGATAGTTGTACGTCTGTCAAGCACTGCATTAAAAACAACCTGCGGTACACACAACTCTGCAAAGATGATCCAGTCCAACAGCAACAAATACAATATGTGACCTTGGCTTTTTTAGGACTGCTGAACCATCACTTTTGCCTTTTTAAAACACAATACAGCACAAAACAAGAGTCACTCATCCTTCAAAATACTCTATGATAAGCTGCTATTATTCCTTTTATTATTGCTATTATTAAGTCTTTAAATACAAGAACTGACAACAGACAACTTGTGTTTTCTGATGATGCTAGAGAAAAAACAGAACTCCCTCTGCACAACCAGTCTCAAGGATCAGGTGCCGGTCAGCCGCAGGAACATCTCAGATAAAATCATCAACATAAACCACTGCATGCTGAACTGAATTACTGTGATTTTATTAGGAGCGAACAGTGATTCTGTTGAGCGCACCTGAAGACGCCACGGACGGAACGTGTTAGTCGCTCTTAATTAAATCACAGTAATTCAGTTTAGTGTGCGGTGGTTTACATTGATGATTTCATATCAAGTTTTTTCCTCTAAAACATTCAATGGTCATGATTAAATATTCAAAATATAAGTTAAAGGAATGCTTCATCACCTGAATGAACATTTGTGTATCAGTTACTCACAATACGGTACGCTGAATTTGAGAAAAAAAAATCGTATTTTTCTCGCATGCCTCCATGGTGAACAGAGATACCAAAAATGGAGAACATTCTTGATGAACTGAAGTCATTGGGGTCCACGTTTAACAACAACAACACTATATCAAAACATCCGTTTACAGACTCAAGTCTCATCTATCTAGTTATACGCTCAGAACTTGCCAAACAGACAGCCCTTTCTCTGAGGGGCAAGTGAAATTTATCAATGCTGTTTCAAAGCCAGACTCCATTGACAAAAACAGTAATTTTACCTTGCTAAAAACAGCTGCTGGAGTACTGCTGCCTTGATCAGTTGGTTATTTTGTGCTTTTATGTGTATTTGGTGAATCCAAACTAACCCTTTTAAACCCCAAAGTCACATGATTACACAAACTAAATAACTGATTGAAGCAGGAGTCAACCAGCAGCTCTCATGGTCAGCAAGTTAAAATGACTGTTTTTGCCAATGGAGTCTGGCTTTGCAGAGAGCGTTATTAAGTTTCACTTCAAATTCAGTTCCCTATAAGAAAGGCTGTCTGTTTGGGATGTTCTGATCATAGGACTGGATGAATGAGACCAAGATTATACTGCACAAATTGTATGAGAGCTTGTAAACAGTTGTTTAGATATAGATTTGCTGTTGGTAAATGCGGACCCTGATTACTTCAATTCATCAAGAATTTTCTCCATATTTGGATTCTTTGTTTACTTGAGGCATGCGAGAAAAACAAAGTTTTCCTGATGAATTTAATGTAACATGTGGTGAGTAATTGACATGCAAATGGTTGCTTGTGGGGATAAAGTGTTCCTTTAAAGTCAGAAACTCAAGTTATCTGCTCCTTTGGGGCAACATGAGCAAAAAACACAACTCTCACGAGATTTTGAGACTTTAAAAAGTTTAAGAGTATTGTTTGTTGGCAGGAAATTATTTTTTTTAACTACCATGAGCTGAGAACACACCCCTCTTCTTAAGTCAGCCTTTTCTAAGTCATGTGAATACACTGTATGTGGTCAAACAAGAGAAAATATGGTGTCCTGACGGTATTAAAATCAAGAAATGACAACAGTTGCACAACACTCATCTGCTTGGTCAACATGATACCCCTTTATGCCACTGTGACTGACATGTAGATGCAGCATCAACAATAAAAATGGGAAATTGGAGTCAAAATCAGCTGACAGTGTCTCAAAAGAAGAAGAAATGACCACACAAAGACAGATACCAATCCACAGACTTGGCTGTGTTGTGTAATATCGAGGCTAGGCAGATGCCTCAGGGAGCTAACAGGCGAGGAACCAGGAGATTGGAAGCTGAGGGGCGAATGAAAGACCCAAGTGGTTCGTTTGCAACAGAGCATCTGTGCCTGTGATTAGCTAATGAAGCTAACCGGGCAAGAGACGCTAAAACCACTGACGGCTATTACTTCCACCTGTCTGGAATCAACTGATTAGCATGTTACAGTCTGAGCAGAGCAGCTTAGCAGCAGTGGCACAAACAAACAAATACATACACACATATCCGAGCATACACACACACACACATATTCAAAACAAGGGCAGGATTGTTTTCTTGGTGGAACCGTTACAGTATAAACCAGATGGCATTAAGGGTCTGGCTCTAAAACACCTCCTGAGGGCTTTAATTGAAGGGTCGTTCTATTAATGAGCGCCACAGCCATAACAGAGGCTGCGAGCATTTGCAACACAAAGTGTACTATGGGAAAAAGTTGGTTGTTTCACTGCTTTGCAATTCATTTACAGGAGTGATTTTACAGTAGCAGGACCGTCTCTGCACCCTGCCACTGGTCATTAGTCATTCTCCCGCCTCACATTCTTCTTTTATGTCACTTTAACAGATCAATTGTACCCACAGGCTCACCAACACTTAGACTACTTGATGAATAGCTTGTGAGTTGGAGGTTATTCAACAGAAACTGTTATTAATTGCAAAATTATGTAGGCAGCCCAGCAGCTAACTTTCTTTTACACACATTTTACAAAGTCGCAAAACTGGTCAGTGGTCAACATAATGATATGAGCTCTATAAAGGGACAAAAAAGGTTCTATTTACCAAAGATGCCACAATATGCTGCGCCAATGGTACGAAAGCGTATACACTTCCTGTCTCTTAACTAGGTGCAGTCATCTCTCCCGCAACCCCCCTCCTTGTTTTAAAGTGTTGTGAATGTCCAGTGGATAGATAAAGCAGATTCAAAACTTATATACAGTACAAATGTAATGTTTGCGCCTTATTTTGTCGCTCGTTTTTATCTGCTAGCTTAATATCTGATATCAACCCAGTACATTATCGTATATGTCGTTGCTGGATCTCGCAAGAGAGTGTTGCCGAGACAAAGACAGGTCTCGAACAAAGTTACGCTTTGTCTTACCTGCTCTGCACTGACTTCCTGTTACATTTAGAATTGATTTTTACGTCCTCCTCCTTGTATACAAAGCCCTACATGGACTAAGACCAAACTACATTGCCAACTCCCATTTGCCTCCAAGAACACTGTGATCATCTGCTGCTGGTTTATTGGAGGTTCCCAGTAACAGCCGGAAGACTATCAGGGATGCAGCCTTTTTCAGTTACGCCCCAAAGCTATGGAACGCAATACCTATAGATGTCAGGGAAGCTAGCTGGCTAAATATTGCTAAAAGAAGTCCAAAAACGTTGAACTAGCTCTGACTTTCCTGATACAGGTCTGAAACTCTTTCTATTTACGCTTCATGTTGCTGCAACTCCTTTAAAATCTGACTTGATTTTATGATTTATAGTTTTACAATTCCATGATTTTATGCACATTGTGCTGCATTTCTTGTATGAAAGGTGCTAAATAAAGTTTATTATGAGTGTTCTCCTCATTTGTCTCTCTGACAGATATCATTTCAGAATGTTCGGAAAATATGTGGCTATTGAAAATGGGTCTAGAATTTACTTCAAAGACTTTGGGACGAAAGAATCGGTCATAATCTGTGCTCACGGTCACTTCTCCAATTTGAATGAATAGACTCAGGATGGCCACTAGTCTCCTTACGTAAGGGAGCCCACATCACACAGATACAGGAAATAACTTTAAAGTGCTTTGACCCATGCTTACCAACATTTTGGAGATGGGAAATTGGTGATATAGATGGTGAAGTGGAAGCCTGATTTTAGAAACTGTCAAATATTTTTTTAGACTTGCACCGATTAATCGGCAGTGCTCTTAATCGGGCCGGTTTTCACTTGATCGGCCGTGACCTGCGACCGGCCGGTCAGTCTAACATATGCCGATTCAAAACGCCGGTCAAATTTCTGCCGTGCCGCATGATTGACATTGTGTAACATCAACAGCGCACACACACACGTGCAACTCACGGCTTGGGAGATGTGAGGAAGTGAAACACTGGCGGCTTCTAACCTTAATCATTTATGCACACATATCAAAAGAGAGAAGGAGAAAGTTGTCTGCGTGCCGAAGATGAGCGTGTCCGTGCGCTTACTGGCGGGCGCGTCCTGAAGACCTGTGTGAATTTTCCACAGGAGATATTTTTACTTTTTTGTCTATACAAGAAATTACCCACAAATGCTATACACCAATAACTGTTATTTTATTTATCCATGTTTTTATTTATGTATGCCTTTTTTAGTTAGGCTATTACTGTACCTGAAGTTATATTTGGAAAAAGGAAAATGTTTCTTAACCTGTGACACTGTTTTTGTTTTTGTTTGTTTGTTTGTTTGAGATGATTATTGAAAAGCTGGTTGTATCTTGGTTAAAATGTTTTAATAAAGGAAAGATAGAAAATATTGCAGTTTCTTGTGTGCTGTAAAGTGGTTTGAAAAAAATGAAATCGGAATCGGCCATCCAAACACTGCAAATCAGAAATCGGTATCGGCCCAAAAAATTGTAATCGGTGCAAGTCTATATTTTTTGGCACATGCCATTTTTTACTTTTGTCTTTACACTGTTTTAAAAATGAGACCCCAGGTCTATTTGTTTTGAAAAGGAAGAGACCTCTATAGAAAATCTGGCTCCCAGTGAAAACCTCTTGAACAATAAACAGTAAAGGAATCCTAACCAGGAGTTCACGCTTGGCACATGGTAGACGTTTCAGCTGGTTGCAATCTGCAATCCTCACCACTAGATGGCACTAAATCCTACAAGCTGCTCCTTTAAGTTCCTTAGACTGTGGGTCAAATTCCAAATTAATGACAA